TGTTCTTAACCGCTGAGCCATCTGTCCAGCCCCCACTGGGTTTTTTTAAGTTTGTATTTTTTGTGCAAAGACTATGTATGAGATAGCCTCATTATTTGTCTTTATAGAAAATTCAGGAAAAGGCTGTTATACTTATCAGCTCATATAGTACTAATGTTGATTTTTAAAAAAATTGAAGTGGCTCTTAAAAAGAAAGCTCAAGGGGACTGGAGTGATGGCTCAGTGGTTAGGAACACTGGCTACTCTTGCAGAAGACCCGGGTTTGATTCCCAGCACCCACATGTCAGCTCACAAACACCTGTAACATCAGTTCCAGGGAACCCAATAATGTCTTCTAGCTTCTCAGAACACTATACATACATGGTTCACACATATACATGCAGGCAAAACACACATAAAATTTTTTAAGAGGTTGGGGATTTAGCTCAGTGGTAGAGTAAGGCCCTGGGTTTGGGCCTCAGCTCTGAAAAAAAAAATTTTTTTTAAATTAAAGTAGCTTTTTTTTTTTTTTAACTGTTTTAATTCTGATTTATCCAGTCACCTTGTCTGTAATTCAATGAGGAATTAAGGGGAGAGTGTCCCAGATGTGGTCCACTACTGATGCACCAGCTGAACAAAAACTCTTGCCTCAGAGGCTGGGGGTGTAGTTCAGTTGGCAGAGTGCTTGCCTAGCATGTATGACACCCTGATTCAATCCCCAAATAAACCAAGCATTGTAGCACTTGCTGTAATCGCAGCACTCGAGAGGCCAAGGAAGAGAGTTAAAAGTTCAAGGTAATCCTTGGCTACATGGAAGCCATCCTGGGCTACACAAGACCATCTCAAACAACCGTTGGCCTCTTAGCCGGTTTGCCAAGCCAAGGCATTAGGAGCAGCTTTTAAATTCCCTTCCAAGCAAAACATTCCAAATAAGGTTAGGCTAGACCTAACAGGATATCATATCAAACTGAATACTTACCTTCTTGGATCTTTTCACTGAGAAATGTACCTGGAAGGCACTTTGGGAAAGACTTTGGACTAGCAAGGAACCAGAAGATACAATCAATGGAAAATTCAAAGAAGTGAAGGCATTTGGAAGGTGGTACCATTAGAAAAAGAAAAAAAAAAAAAGGGGGGTGTGGCCAACAAGATGGCTTATGGTAAATGATATTGGTTAAATTACTAGAAACCTCATGGTAGAGGGAAAGGGGACAACTCATGCAAGTTGTCCTCTGACCTCTGCGCACACACACACACACACACACATGGCCCAGCAGTTAAAAACACATGTTCTCCTAGATTAATACCAATGTAATAGCAGTAGCCTACAAAATCTTGCTCCTATTACAGACAGCTCTGTTCTGCTTTATGGTAGTCTCATATATAGTATACATTCAAAATCGGCATGCAGACACCAGCAGCTTTTCTCTGTCAATGAACTTGCAAGAAGCTTCTGTCTTCAGCTCTGGACAGTTTCATTATATTGTATGTTGGTCTGAATTTCTTCCGTGTTTATGTTTGGAGTTCAATAAACTTCTTGGTTGTATAGATTCAAAAGTTCTAGCAAGTTTGAGATGGTTTTGAGCATTATTGCTTCAACGGTCCCTTCTGCACCCCCCACCCTCTCTCTCTCTCTCGGCTCTCCTGGAGCTAGTTTTGCAAATGTCTGTGCTTGATGATGCACCACAGATCTCTCATTGGATAACCTGGAACACAGTCTGAACTCAATATTCCACTCCTTGTTCACATCGACCCCTGGAACCCTGAGTGATGTTTTTGACTACTTTTATGGCTTCTTTTCATATTTTCTTATTTATATTCTCAACTTGTGGATAGTTCCCTGTATTACTTTGGCTCTCTGAGAATACCTGAGAGTTGATTTTAATAATTTTTCTAGTACTAAACTCCAGGCTGCCCTGAGTTTTGGATATTCAAGAAGAGGATTACTATACCAATATTACATTAATGCACTGTGAGACACACGTGGTGACACCCGCCTGTAATCCTGGTAGTTGGGAAGTGGAGGCAGATGACAAGACATTGAAGCTCATCTTTGGCTACATGGCCAGTTCAAAGCCAGCCTGGGATACCTGAGACTGTCTCTTTAAACGGAGGGCAGGGAGCAGCGAGACAGTTTGGTGGGTAAAGGCACGTGCCACCCACCAGTGCTATCCTGAGGACTTCTGGGAACCCACATGAAGCTGGAAGGAGGGAACCAATACACAGTGTCCCCTGACCTCCATGTGCACACTGTGGCACTTGCACCCCCTACACACACACACACACACACACACACACACACACACACACACACACACACACACCACACCACACCACACCACACACAATAAATTCAGAGGAAGAATCTTAGGGGAATTTTTTCTCATAAAACGAAATGGGAAAAAAATTATTACACTGTATGCCTGGAGATAGGTATGCCTAGCCTGGCTTAAACATTATACAATGTATACACAAACCCAAAACGTTAATATATACTGTTTTTTAAAAATTTGAAAACAGCTGGGCAGTGGTGGCATACACCTTTAATCCCAGCACTCAAGAAGCAGAGGTAGGTGGATCTCTGTGAGTTCGAGGCCAGCCTGGTCTACAAAGCAAGTTCAAGGACAGCCAAGGCTGCCTAGAGAAATCCTGTTTCAAAAAACGAGGAGGGGAGAGAGAGAGAGAGAGAAAAGAATGTAAGTCCAGCGTGTGCTTCCTCAGTTTGTACTTCTCCGTGAATGGGTGCCGCTTATTTCTTCCCAGGTGTCAGGCTGTTGTTTGTTTGTTTGTTTTGTTTTGTTTGGGGGGAGTTTAAGCTGGATGGTCTCAATATATCATAATGTACTAACCAGATTCTCCACTCAGGCTTTATGTGGCTTGCTATGGCTGTAGGGACTTTAGTGACTTTTCTAAACTGGCAACAGAAGTTTCCTTGAAGGGGCTGGAGAGCTGGTTTAGCTGTTAAGAGCACTTGCTGCTTACATGGGGGCCTGGGCTCAGGTCCCAGTACCCACGTTGGGCAGCTCACATCCACCTATAACTCCAGTTCCAGGGGATCTAACGCCCTCTTCTGACCTCCAAGAGCACCTGCGTGTATATGCACATGCCCACACACATACACATAAAAGAAAAATAAAGCTTTAATGAAAACGAAGTTTCCTTGAAGACCTGACACCTAAAGAATAAAGTCAAGAAGCCTTCTTGGCAGACTAGCTGTGTTGGGTTACACTTTCAATGCTTCACCGGGCCACTTAAAATCTACTGTTGCTAAGCCCGGTGGCGGTGGTGGCGCACGCCTTTAATCCCAGCACTCGGGAGGCAGAGCCAGGCGGATCTCTGTGAGTTCGAGGCCAGCCTGGTCTCTAAAGTGAGTTCCAGGAAAGGCGCAAAGCTACACAGAGAAACCCTGTCTCGAAAAACAAAAACAAAAACAAATCTACTGTTGCTGTCACTCCCTCCTTGCATGGAGCCTGCAGATCAGTCCACAGTAAACTCCTGGTCAAACCCTCTCCACTGCTTCCCCTCAGGCTATGTCTTTATCTACACTGTAGCTGTTTGCCCCAGGTGGTGACAGGTTCATCTGCACTGTCCTGTGTGAGAACTGTTCCCCACTTTCCATTTGTGAGTTAATGAAACAAACGTCTTGTCTGTCCCTCAGGTTGTCCCAGGCAGGTTTGGAGAATGAAGCCTCTCCACTCCTAAGGAACTAGAAACCACCGGGACCCCATCTTCTTGTGTGTGTGTGCTGTGGGCATATGTACCTGGACTTCATCCACTGGCTAGGCTAGTGAGTTCCAGGGACCCACCTGTCTCCATCTGCCCCCACTTTACCCAGCTCCGGGGCTGCTCTGCCTGTGGCTAGGCCCTGCTTGGCTTTGGGGTGGGTGCTAGAAATGCCAACGCAAATCCTCATGCCTGTACAGCAGCCACTTTACCGGAGGAGTCATCTTCCTAGCAACTTCGGCCGCAACTCCACAACTGCTGTAGCCTCTTCAGTCTTCCAGATGGAAGGGGAAAAGCCAAGTACCTTACTGCTAGGGTTTGCCCTCTCCTCTGACTCAGCACATGATCGGTGGCTGGACACCTTTGACTGTTTCCAGAGTTTGGACAAAGTGCTAAACCTCACGCTTGACTTTTCAGAGTCCTTGAAGTTATCTACTAAGGCATTCTCGTTTGCTTGGTTTTGACAGGGTTTTACTATGTAACCCAGCTAACTTTGACGATATGATTCTTCTGCCTCAGCCTCCTGGGTTCCAGAATTATGAACCCTTGCCACAATGCCATGCAACTCTTCCTATTTTTGCTGATATCACTCTTGGTTATTTGAGTGCCTGGCACTACACATGAAGATTTGTAGAGCTAATTTGTGGCTCTGGGTATTAATTTTGATATTTATGTGCTTGTTGGGCAGTTAAAGTAGTTGTACTACCATGCCCAGAGAACTTCATAATGACTAAGGAACAATGACGTAAGCTGTACTTCAGGTTGTGTAGGTGGGTCTTTTTCCTGTCAATCACATACAGAAGATGTCTGTCCTTGGAGTACAATGGAAGACCGCTTTCTTCCTTGATGGTACCTATGTAGAAGCTTGTTTAAGTTTTTTTTTTTTTTTTTTTTTTTTTTGGTTTTTCGAGACAGGGTTTCTCTGTGTAGCTTTGCGCCTTTCCTGGAACTCACTTGGTAGTCCAGGCTGGCCTCGAACTCACAGAGATCCGCCTGGCTCTGCCTCCCGAGTGCTGGGATTAAAGGCGTGCGCCACCACCGCCCGGCCTTGTTTAAGTTTTAATGCTGCTTGCTTACCTCTATAAATATCATTGACAAATAAGTAATTATGGGCAAGCAAGTAACGGAAACAAATTTCAGGGCTGGAGAGATGGCTCAGAGGTTAAGAGCTCTGGCTGCCCACCTGGTGACCGCCCACACTTGTGACTCCAATTCCAGGGGATCTCATGGCCTCTTTGGCCTCCAAGCAAACGAAACATGAAAGAGGTGCACAGACATACAGACAGGCAGAACATCCATACACAAAAAAATGAAAAAAATTTAATATTTTTAAAAATCCAAATTTACCAATTATAGATTTACCAAAGAGCATATTAGATAATGTCCACAGATTAGGTTGACATTTGTTTGCAGAGAAATTTATCCATTATTTTTATTAAAATAACATTTCTATCTCTACAATGGGTTGGAGAGATGGCACAAGGAAATTTAATCTTGAAGTAGCGTATTTTCTAATTTCCTATTAATTTTGTTTAGTTCTTAGTTACAAAGTCAAATCTCTCAAGCCAGGCACAGTGATACATGCCTGTAACCCAGCCCTCGGAAGGATATAGGATTGTCCTGAGTTCTAGGATAGCTTGGGCTGCACAGTGAGTCCAAAGCTAGCCCGAGCTGCAAAGTGAGACTGTCCCCCAAATATAAAAAGTTACATCACTTTACACACTGAACTTGATGTGACCACATTTACTTTCTGCATACATTCCGTCTAGGTAGATGCTCTGGTTCTTCATCCTGAAGTAGCTCAACTTCCAGAAATAGAGTTGTCAGATCAAAAGGGCAAGGGTTAAGATTTCAACAGAGTGAATGTATGTACACATTTTATTATATACAAAGAATGAAGTTTTAAAAGATAAACAAAATAGAACTTGTCGTCATAATTGGTAGTCTAAAAAACGTCTTGTCATTTCTAAGAGACATAAGCCTTAGAGTGGGGCCTCAAAGGATGAATCAGCTCTCGACGGGTTTCCTCTAACAGCAACCGACACTCTCGGAGGCCGCTGGGGAACTGTGGAAGCCAGTGTTTGTCAGACCCCGTGAAGGAAGGAGATGCTTACATATCGAAGGAGGAACAAATGAAAAGTCCTGAAGGAAGGAAGAGTACTTCCAGGGTCAGGTTTATTATTGGTAATGATAGAGAGGTAATCACTGAGACATAAGATTTCTAGGTAACGCCCTAGGTGTCTCGTCATAAGGAAACCTTTCAGTAGGTCTACAAATGGTTCAGAGACAGGAAAAGGGAGAGGTGAGCTGAGAAGACAAAAGGAAAAGGCAGGTTAGAGGCAAGAAAACACACACAGAACTCAGGCCTAGTAAGACAGGACGGGAGACAGCATTCACTTATTTAAGTCCAAGCCTGGAAAAAACGATTTCCATATATTTGGTATTTAATAATATACAAGAAAAATCTCGTTACAGAAGAGCTACTTTATATAATAAGCTACACACATACTCAATACAAATTCCAAATGAAACCCAACCTACAACACACTTGAACTATAAGGACGATACAAAAGGATTTTCAATCCAACTACATTTACTATGATGTCTAGACATAGTCTATCCCATTGTAATCTGTACACAAGTTCAAATTGTGGAGTTTCAGGTTTTATTTTTTAAAAAAGATGGCCTTAACCTCAGATTAACTAGAGATTTATTGAGGCTCGAAGTGGCAATCTGCTTTTCGTGACAGTGTACTCTGAGGTCTCTTCCACTTTAGACTTCTCGGCTGGGTTAACGCCTCTGTTTTCTTTGTCCTTTCCATGGGGCTTTTGACGCTGTGGGTTTAAGAGGAAAAGCGAGTCACAACGGTGTAGGTTCGCTAGACACTGTAGCATTCGATCTCACAGTTCTCTGCATTCCAGGCAACACTTCCAGTTAGGGAACCGCAAAGGACAAAGGTTCAGCCCAAATTTGAGCCACTTAAAAAATCAAGTATAGCCTCCTTTATTTTAGCAGGAATGGAGGTAGAATGAATTTCTTTCTTTGTTTTTCTGAGACAGGGTTTCTCTGTGTGTAGCCCTGGCTGTCCTAAAACTCACTCTGTAGACCAGGCTGGCCTCTGCCTAGCCAGTGCTGGGATAAAGGCATGTGCTACCACCACTGGCAAGGAATACTTCTTTTTGGCATTATTTCTAAAACATAATTATAAATTTCCTTTAAGACAGTGGTTCTCAACAGCAAGTGACTCTGCCCCCTAGTGGACATACGCCAATGTCCTGAGACATTTTAAATAGTACAGAGACAGTGAGAGTGTCTAGCTCTGGTAAGGATGCCATGGATGAAAGTGTTCAAACTGTAGGCTGCAGGACAGCTGGTCATAACAGAGAATTACCCAGTTTAAAATGTCAACGGTGCTGCTTAGAGAGAGGAAAATTGTCACCATGAAGAAAAGACCATTCTCCAGGTGGTGGTGGCGCACGCCTTTAATCCTAGCACTCCAAAGGCGGAGCCAGGCCGATCTCTGTGAGTTTGAGGCCAGCCTGGTCTACAGAGTAAGTTCCAGGACAGGCACCAAAACTACATGGAGAAACCCTGTCTCGAAAAACCAAACCAAACCAAACTAAAAAAACAAAACAAAACAAAAAAACAAAAAAGAAAAGAAAAGACCATTCTACTCTAAGCAGAAAAGCTGACATGGGCAACTATGGAACACTTCCATTCTTCCATTTATCTTCTACTGAAAATGTGTTTCATGCTGGATAGTGATGGTGGCACATGCCTTTAAATCCCAGCACTTGGGAGGCAGAGGCAGGCGGATCTCTTGAGTTCGAGGCCAGTCTGATCTACAGAGAGTTCCAGGACAGCCAGGGCTACACAGAGAAACCCTGTCTCAAAAAGAAAAAGAAAAATGTGTTCCACATTATGCATTTAGGGACTCTATACCTCTGGAAGCTCCCTGCTTCAGGAGGAAATTTAAAATACTGCATACTCAATTGTAAATGCTGAGACAAATCACAAACCAACTTTTTATAAAGTTTTAGACTCTAGAGATGTAACTGCTTCCCAAGTGCTAGGATCAAAGGCATGTAACACCTCACCTGCACCAGGTAGTTCTGAATGGCTTGTTCCTAACTGTGTTAGAAGGCCATGATGCCACAGACCTGTAACCTCGGCATGTGGAAGACTATGGCAGAGGATTGCTACATTCTAGGCTAGCCTGTTCTACAGAGTGAGAGACTGTTTCAAAAGCAAATAAGGTGGTGGGCATAAGATCTGCCACAGGGTTTAACTGTCCAGCCTCAGGGAGGCAGAGAACTTGCGACACTGGGGAATAATTAACAAGAGAAAAGCCTCCTGTGGGCAGGATTAAATCATTAGCACAATTTATAGGCCCGAACTTTCAAGTCCTTTAACCTTCCAAGTGTGATGGGCAGAGATGGATACCAGGACCAACTGGGTAAAGGTACAAGTAAGAGAAATAACTGCCCCTACAGTAAGATGCAGAAATGAGACAAAAATAATAGCTGAAGATTATTTGCTAAAGTTATCGATGAGGTCAAATGTTACCTTTATGTAGTCCATAGAAGATTCCTTCATCAGTATCAGACTATTTAAACTGTAAACAGTTTAAATAAAGATTAACAAGCCATTTGAAAGGGACGACTGAATGCTGTTGTTCTACACAAATACTGTTTTTTGTTACTGCTTTATGTTTTGTTTTAAAGACGGGTCTTGCTTTGTTAGCCTAGGCTAGCTCCTCCTTAGCCTCACAAGTGTGGGGACTTAGGGTGTATATCATCATGCCTGGCTAGGTTAGTCATGACCCCTTTATACTAAATAGTAAAACTGTGAGGTTGACAGCAGGCGAGGAAGGCGGGTGAGTGAAATACATCAAGTACCTGGAAAAAGGGAACACCGCCACTTGAAGAGCAATCCACACCGGTGTGTACCAATGTCTCCTGACTTAAAAGTTCTTTAGTACATTGTTCCAGAACCTCCTTCTCTTCATCCATGTCCTAAAATAAGAAGCTGGTTGAGTAGGTAAGTCCATGGTGCTGGATCGTCACACAGAGCTGGACATGGTTGGGACATGCTTTACAACCCCAGCACTCAGGAGGTGGAGACAGGAGAATTGCTGCAAGTTTGAAGCAGCCTGGTCTACAAGCTCCAGGACAGGACAGCTGGGGGGCGTGTGTGTGTGTGTGTGTGTGTGTGTGTGTGTGTGTGTGTGTGTGTGTGTGAGATCATAAAAGCCAGGCGGTGGTGGTGCACACCTTTAATCCTAGCACTTGGGAGGCAGAGGCAGTTGATTCTCCAAGTTCAAGGCCAGCCTGGTCTACAGAGTGAGTCCCAGGACAGACATGACTACAGAGAAACCCTGTCTCAAAAAACAAAAAAAAACAAAAAAAAAATCATAAAGCCAGTTTTCTTCTTTGAATGATTTCATATGCATTATATGAAAGTTTAAACTTTAATAATTAGTAGAGAATCTACAAAATATAATGCATTGGCTTGTACTTATTCTCTGCTTCCTTAACTTTCCTATACTTGCTATTGACTACAGAGCACAGACTGTAGGTTGACTGCCTTGCTTCTCACTGCAGCGTCATCTCTGTAACCTGAGACATAAGATTCTGTCGGTTCATTCCTAAGATGTACTACAGTGGTGCCCATCTAACAGGGCTACTGAGAGGGCTGAGTTAGCATACACGTAAAGAACTTACAACAGTGTGTGGTATGCAATCACAGCTAAAAGACAAAATTAGTAAGATTAAAAGAAAGGCTTAAAAGCCAGCAATTCTCATAGGAAACAGCATAGAGTGAAAAGTAAGAGTCATTCCATGAGATCAACCACATCAGAGTTCACAGGGGCTGGGGTGATGACTCAGAGGGTGAGGCAGTTGCTGTTGAAATGTAAGGGTCAGATTCTGGATCCCCAGCCCCCACCTAATGTCTTGTGGGTGTGGCAGCCGGCCTGTAATCCCAGCGCTCAGGAGAACTGGTAACAACTAGTAGCTCTGGGTTCAAGTGAGAGATCCTACCTCAGTATATTGAGTGGAGAGCAACTAAGGAAGGCACCCAAAGTCAACCTCCCGCCTCCATACAGATGCACACATGCTGTGTGCACACCCCTATGCACACATGTGCACCCACACGTGCAAAAATAAGAGTTTATGGGAAAGTTCTAAATGATGTTTTAAATTTTACCTGACTGGCCTCTTTGTCATTTTCTGAGCAGTTCGGCATCATTAATCGGTTGGGCTGTTTCCTTTGCAGCTGCTCAAGGAGCTGTTCCCGGGGTTCGGTTCTCACCAGTGCTGATGGATATAAGTAATTTTTCCTCTCTGGTGTCATACCTTTATAACAGACATTAGAAAAGCAGGGAAAATTAAGTATGAAATATAATTTTTTAAATTATGTTAAAATGTATACGTTCAAGTGAGTTGTCTTCCACAAACAAAAGTGATTTCCATACATCTTTTTTACTTGCCAGGCACAAACTGGTTGAAGCTAGTAATATTTTTTTTCACATAGTAATTTTTTAAAAAAATAAGATTGGCTTTTTCCTACTTCTAGGGTTTCATTCAAAGCCATCTCTTTTTTTCTCTTTCTCTCTTAATTTTATTTATTTATATTTTATGTATGAGTATTCTGCATGTAAACCTGTGTGCCAGAAGAGGGCATCAGATCTATTATAGATGGTTGCTGGGAATTGAACTCGGGTCCTCTGGAAGAGCAGTGCTCTTAAATGCTGAGCCTTCTTTTCAGCCCTGTAATGGATCTTTAATAGATCTGACAATTTGAAAAAGTCATCTTACCTCCAAAAATGTGAAGTTTCCATTTCTAAGAATGTACAAAAAATGTATTAGGCTTAGAAATGAATTTGTGGGTATTCTGAGAAATGGTGGCATTATTGGAATTAAAAGTTTTACCAAGGTAAATACTTCGAAAGGAGTAACCATTTCTTTATAATTTGGTGTAGTGCCTGGCTCTTAAGGCAGTTACATTTCTTTATAAGAGAGGTGCCTTTTCACTTAGCATTCCATTTTCATCCACAGTTAACAATAAATCTGAAAGGTTGAAGAAACTAAATAAACCAATATTCTTTAGTACAAACTCTTTCTAATTACTTCTTCAAAAGAAGCTTTGAGATGTAATTTATATGCCACAAAAGTCATTCAAAAAAGTATACAATTCAATGGCTTTACAATACAATGAAGAATCAACTATTAATCTATGTCAATCAGCTTACTAATCATGGTAGTTTACCAATCTTTGCCATTTCTGATCTCTAAAAATGGTGATTTTTTTTTTTTTTTTTTTTTTTTTTTGCGGGAGTTGGGGGTTGTTTTTTTTGAAACAGGGTTTCTCTGTATAGCTCTGGCTGTCTTGCAACTCACTATGTAGTCCAGGCTGGTCCCGAACCTAGAGCTCCACAGTACTACCAAGTGTTGGAATTAAAAGTATGTGCCACCACCACCACCTAGCCGTAAAAATGGTGATTTCTAAATGATGCCAATTAATGACAGCATAAGGGGGCAGTGGGCAAACTGGAGTGTCTAACACTGCATACAGCTGAATTCAATTTCAAAAACTCTTAACAATTCTGTTGGTTTTAAAATACCCACTGGGGATAAAAGAGAGGTAGCTCAGTGATTAAGAGCATGCATTACTCTTCCAGAGGACCAGAATCAATTCTCAGCACCACACTGGGTAGCTCATACCCACCCCTAATTCCAGCTCCAGAGGGATCCGATCCCTTCACCCAGCCTCCAGGGGCATTGTACTCAAGTGCATATCCAGCCACCCCTGCCCCACATAAGTAAAATAAATCTTAAAAAGTAAAAATAAACTACCTGTTGGGATATCTAGTTTCAGATCCTGGTGCAGAAAGCAATTTAGCTTTGTCAAACCAGTTTTTATAGTCTCATGAAGCTCCAGACTTTCTGCTTTTAATTTCTCATCATCGGAAGTTATCTGCAGGACGAAGGAGCTGTGCTGGCCCTCGATGGCAGCTGTGTGTCCACTGAGTTTCTCACTCATCTCTGAACTCGAAGACTCACAACATCCATTTACAAACTGTAAAGGATACAAACAAGCTTTCATTACTAAAGTTCGAAGCGCTTTAGTCCTTGGATCATTTTTTATTACCTTGAATTGTTTCATAACACAAGTTTCAAAAACACATAAAAAAGGAGAGAGGACAGGGCAATTAGCCTGTATTCACTGCCAACGTGGGCGCTGGGGCCTGAGGCACTCTGACCTGCTAGGCCATCTCCCCTGCTACCCATTCTTAACATTGCTCCAATACACAGATGGAAGGCAGGCCTGACTTAAGAAAAGTAGACTGTGAAGGCTGTCTAAGTCCTAGGTCTGTTTTTGCTCTGTAATTTATTCTTTGATTTTTTTAACTTGAAAAACATTCAATTTTAAAGAAATTAGGTTTTAAGCTGGGCAAGGTGATACACACCTTTAATCATGGCACAGAGAGGAGGAGGCAGAGGGATGACTTTGAAGTCATCCTGGGCTAAATAATAAGTTCAAAGCCAGGAGAGGAGGGGAGAAGAGGGAAAGAGAGGGAAGGGGCTGGGGTGGGAGATGGGGGCAGGGTGAAACTAGGTCTTTCCCTAGATTTGTTCACCCATCTCTACACCAGGTTTTCTTTTGTTTGTATTCTTTTTGAGACAGAGTCTTAAGACTATGTGGTACAGACTGATCTCAATCAAATTCAGAATCCCCCTGGCCTCTGGCTCCCAAGTGATGGTATCACAGGTGCGTCCCACCATGTCCAGTTTCTATGCAGCCTCAATTTGATTTCAGAAACCTTTGTAAAAGTGGAAGGAGTTGTGTCTCCAATCTCCACATCTGTGCCATGGCATGTATGCCCACACTACACATCATAAACACAAACACAATAGTAATCATTTTAAGGGGTAGAGAGATGGCTTAGCAGTTAAGAGCACTTGGTGCCTATCCTCAGGACACCTTAGGGTTCCAGCACCTGGGTCAGGCAGCTCACTGCCCGTGACTCCAACTCCAGGGGGTCAGATGCTTTCTTTTGTCCTCCAAAGGTGTTTTCTCATGCCTGCGTGCGCACGCGCACACACACACACACACATCAAATAAAACACAACTTTTGTTTAAATTTTTTTCCCCGAGACAGGATTTCTCTGTGTAACAGCCCCAGCTATCCTGGAACTCGATTTGTAGACCAGGCAGACCTGTCACAGAGATCTACCTGGCAAAAGATTGCACCTGGCAAAATAAAACTTTTAAAGGTAAGAGGCAGCTACCCATTCCTAAACAAACTGACCCATCAAAAAATAAAGAATACAGAACAAATAGTAAATTAGCTTGAGACTTAAAAGACCTATCTATGCTAAAACATAAAACAAGGTCATAGATATGCATAGCAAGTACTATACTTAAAGGCTTAAGTCATGCTGGGTGGTGGTGGTGGTGGCGGTGGCGGTGGCGGTGGCGGGGTGGCGGTGGCGGGTGGCGGTGGCGGCGGCGGCGGCGGCGGCACACGCTTTTAATCTCAGCACTCAGGAGGCAGAGGCAGGTGGATCTCTGGGAGTTTGAAGCCAGCCTGGTCTACATGGTGAGTGCCAGGACAGCAAGGACTACACAGTAAAACCCTGTCTTGAAGCTTCCCCTCCCCCCAAAAAGTCATTCATTATATCTTAAAAAAAATTATTTAATGTTTTGGGAGTTTTGGTTGTTTTTATGAGAGTCTCACTATGTATCCCTGGATGTCCTGGAACTCCTTATGTAGAGCAGGCTGACCTTGAACTCAAATATCTGCCTCCCAATGCTGAGATTAAAGGTGTGTACCACTATGTCCAGCTCATATAATGTTTTAAAATAAATTCTAAGTCAAGAATATTTTCATTTCTGATTATAGCTATTCTCTCCAAGTTAGTTCCAGGTACAGACACATCACATTACCTCCATTAAGTTCTGAAGTTCCTCCTTCCTCTTGCTTAAGCATGATGCCCACTGTTCAGAAAAATGAACTGTGCTTGTGTTCAAAGCTTCACACCTTTGTGTGGTCTCCTGAGATACAGTTTCTAGGTTGCTGTTGAGTGAATCACAGTGCTTTACAGACTCTTCCACCAACTGTGCACCTTCTTGGCTAAAGTGTCTGAGTTCTTCTAATAATCCATCAGAATCAGCAAGAAGTTTTTTACTGTGAACTGTGGTTTTGCTGATTATATCTGTAGACTTCCTATAGGAAAAAAAAAAACCAAAAAAAAAACAGAATAACTGTAAGATCAAGGCCAGCCTGGACTACAAATCTCGGTCCAGAGCAATGTGAGCTACAGAGTAAGACTCTCAAAACAAAAAAACAAACATCAAAACAAGCCCCCGGGTATCTGAAATCAATCATCACTCACAAGAGGATGAGCAAGGCAATCAGCAGGCCAACAGCAAGAGCCCTGCCTTAGCATCATATGGCAAACACTTATAGGAGTCATCATAAAAATGTCTGGGAAAGAGGGTACCTGGACTGGTCTACTCTAGTCACCAGCCTAGCAAATAACCTAGCTGTCATCACAGAGCCTTTGTGCAGTGATTGATGGAGGCAGATACAGAGATCCACGGCCAGGTACTGCAGGCAAGGGACGTAGAGATCATGATGGGAGGACGTGCAGAGATGACCGGCCACACTAGTGGAAGCCCATGAACTGTGGACTGGTGGCTGTGGAGCCCCCATGGGACTGGACTAGGCCCTCTGGATATGGAAGACAGTTGTTTGGCTCGAACTGTTTGGGGAGCACCCAGGCAGGGGGATCAGGATCTGTCCCTGGTCTATGGGCAGGCTTCTGGAACCCGATGCCTGTGGTGTGACACCTTGCACAGCCTTGGTGCAGTGGAAAGGGGCTTGGACCTGCCTAGGCTCAGTGTGCTGGGCTCTGCTGACTCTCCAGGGGAGACCTCAATTTGGGGGATGTGGGGATGCAGGGTGGCTTGGGAAAAAGGGCTGGGGGTGGGAGGAGGGAAGAGGGGGGATCTGTGGATAGTATGTGGAGTAAGTAGAAATTTTCTTAATAAAGAAAAATGAAAGAAAAAATGTCTGGGAAAGAAAGCCATGAAAAGCCTTGAGCCTGGGATTTCAGCACTTGGGAAGCTGAGGCAGAATTGCTCTGCAGTCAAAGCAGTCCTGAGCTACAGTGAGGTTCTGTCTCAAGAACGGGAGGGTGGGAGGAAGGAATACACTTATATAGACATACACACAGATAAGATGTCAACAAGTCACACATTCACTTGTAAGCAAACCAGAACTGTTGGTACTATTTGAAGTTTTTCTTCCTTTTGAAAATCATTCCAGACTTACAGAAATTTCAGAAGAAGTTAAAAATATCTTACTGCTCTGTATTTTCTTGAATACTGTTCAGCGGTCTCTGGATGGTTTCGCACTTTTCCTCCAAAGCACAGAATCTCTCTGTCCAACTATTGATTAACTGTAAAAGTTCCTGTATGAAAGATTGAGGAAGGGAAAGATGTGAAATGGTGATACTTAAATGTTTATTTTCTCAATATGAGTGATAACATGATCACACAGGTGAGGATATAGAACTTGTTTGAGATAGTGTCTCATAATATAACTCAGGTTGGCCTCCAGCTTGCTTGATCATCCTGCCTCAGCCACTGAGTGCTGGGATTACATGTGCATAACACCACACTCAGCTGAACTATATAAATTCATTTTGTTGTTGTTTTTCTGAGACAAGGTTTCTCTTGTAGCCCTGGCTGTCCTGGAGCTCACTCTATAGACCAGGCTGGCCTCAAGCTCAAAGATACTCCTGCCTCTGCCTCTCGGGTGCTAGGATTAAAGGCATGCTCCACCACCACCTGGTGAACTATATAAATTCTTGATAAAACATTTTTTTTTTTTTTTTTTGGTTTTTCGAGACAGGGTTTCTCTGTGTAGCTTTGCGCCTTTCCTGGGACTCACTTGGTAGCCCAGGCTGGCCTCGAACTCACAGAGATCCGCCGGCCTCTGCCTCCCGAGTGCTGGGATTAAAGGCGTGCGCCACCACCGCCCGGCTTTGATAAAACATTTTTAATTTCACCTTTCAAATATAGAGGAAAGCCCTGAAACGGAACATTTTAGGACTTTTAAAAACAGAGTAAAGAATTAACATTTTTTTCTTTGTTATTTGGAGAAAGGGTCTCACTAAGCTGGAACAACCAACAAGTGTGATCTTGCTGCAACAGTCTCACGTACCCAAGTGTCGTTATTATTCATTACCACTCAGGCCATAAGAACGACATGCTGGAGCTTGGTGTGGTGGAACATGCCCAGTGATACAGCAGTGAGAGAAGACAGGACTCAGCTTATCAAAGATAGCAACTATCCATGCCACCCTAGAAAGAAGAGTCTTGCAATTTTTTCACTTAAAATGCTACAGCAACCTTCCTCCACAGACGTGTTTTCTAGCCCTTCATCTTCCTGGGGAAACAACCACTTTGTTTGTCAGGATGTTGTTCAGCACAGAGTTCCAGATGAAACAAATTCTCCAATATTAATGATCTAAAGAAGTATTCTCAATTATTTTACACAAATCACCATCAGAAACAACAGTAGCTGTGGTGACCTCAGGTTTCCATAGTCTTCAAACCAGGTGATATAGATTATTAAGTCCATTAAGCCACTAAAAATGTCAATTAAGAGATACCTGTGAGTGGGTTTCCTTTATTGACTTCAGGTCTTCATTAAGGTTTGCACAAAGCTTCTGCGATTCAGCCACGGAAGAAACTGTGTTTTCTTGGAGTTCACGTAGATTGTTGCACAATACACTGAGAAAACCGTCTAATTCTCTTTTTTGATCTTCTATCTTTGAAGAAAAAAATATTAATTTCTTTTTTAAGCAACCTATCAAATTTGAGGTATTAAGAAGATAACATCTGCCGGGCAGTAGTGGCGCACGTCTTTAATCCCAGTACTCCAGAGTCTGAGGCCAGCCTGGTCTACAGAGTGAGATCCAGGACAGCCACCAAAGCTACACAGAGAAACTCTGTCTGGGGGGCAGGGGAGGGGGACGAGGGAGAGATAACATCTGTACCTTTTCAGCCATTGTCAATGAAGTCCTGAAAATATGCTGCAGTTGCCTATTGATGTTCAAAATGGAAACCACACCAGGGGCTAAGATGGTCTTCAGGGAAGCGAGAAGGTTGGTAGCAAGTTCATTCTGGGTTTTAAAACAAACACATCTTTAAGAACGTTTTCATTTCCATTAACTTGGCTGATGTATCTCAGATACTTATCACCAAACACCGACATTCAAAATTCTTAATTGACATTCTTTATAACCTAAAGAGACATAACTGCATATCCAGAATTTATATTCTGCCTAAATCTTTTAGTCTTGCTCCACTAATTAAAGCAATGATCACTAAGTACATAGTAAATGCTGGGTTAATTTGCTCTTTTGTGTTTGTTGGGTCTCTTGTAACACAGGCTAACCTCAAACTCACTGTGTAGCCAAGGATGCGCTTGAATTCCTGTTCCTCCTGTCTCCACACTATCAGGATCACAGGTATGTACCACGATGCCTGCCTTTTATAGTCAATTTTTAACAGTCTAATGGAGAGTTCAGAAGAGGAGAAAAATGACAGTCAAATGTTAAGATTCCAGCACTCCAGTTTGATCCCCAGCATAGGAAAACAACAAAATCTATAAATACATTTTAACATAATGAATTGTAAACAGCTTTAGGTTATTGATCAAAAAAGCTAAGCCAAGAAGTCATTAAGAGCCAGAAAGTCAGCCCCTTGGGGGAAAGATGGCTCAGTGGTTTGGAATGTGTGCTTTTGCATAGGACCAGCACCCACTTTAGGTGGCTCACAACTGTCTGTTAACTATGGCTCCAGGGGATCCAACGCCCTCTTCTGGACTCCACAGGTACCCGCACTCACTTGCATATACCCTCCCACCCCCATATAAACAAATCAACCAAAAAAAGCAGGCTTTGGAGCAAGGCACTGTAACTGTAGCTCATGCCTGAAACCCTGACACTCAAGAGGCAAAAGCAGGATGATTAATATGAGACCTAAAGCAGCCTGGACTAAAGAGTGAGTTCTAGGTCAACCTGAGATACAAAGTACGACCCTGCCTCAAAACATTTGTGGGGCAGGGAGGAGAGCAAATTTTAGGCTAGAAATATTTAACTGTGAAGATCCTATGACTTAGAAACTATTGTATCAGAACTTGCGTGTTCTTGTAGAGAAACGTGAAACTGAAAACATGAAAGACCCTTTCACTAGGGAAAGGGCAATGAATAAACACAAACTCTAAGAAGAAATAAGTTAGCAGAGCTGCAGTGAAGTGCTTGTGGTGTAAACATCAGTACCTGAGTTTAACCCCCAGAATCCACATTACCAAAACAAACTGGTGCACACCTTTAATCCCAGCACTCGGGAGGCAGAGGCAGGCGGATCTCTGTGAGTTCGAGGCCCACCTGGTCTACAGAGCGAGATCCAGGAAAGGCGCAACGCTACACAGAGAAACCCTGTCTCGAAACCCCCCCCAAAACAAACAAACAAAAAAACAAACAAAACACCCCACAAACAAACAAAAAACAAGCTGAGTGTAGCACGGGAGAGCAGAGACTGGTAGATCCCTGGGGCTAAGCAGGTGAAAGGGCTCACTTCCAGCCTGACATCAAATCCCATCCCCAAAAACTGTGTAAAGGTTGAGGGAAGAGGACAGACTCCACAAAGCACATCATGGCAACATACACACCATACGTACGATAAAATCAAATCTTGAAAAAAAATAGCACCTTGGGTTGGGGATTTAGCTCAGTGGTAGAGCACTTGGGTTTGATCCTCAGCTTAAAAAAAAAAAAAAGGCACCTTAAGAGAGGTCCCTAAGGTTGTTTTCTGGACTCCTTATCTACCTGTGCATACATGTACACACACACATACACACATACACACACAAGAGGGAAAGTAAAGGAAAGGGGGGAAACAAAGAAGAGAGAAATGAGTAAAGCAGCAAAAAAAAAAAAGAAAGCTAAATGGGTTTGGAAAGCATACTACCATCAACAAATTCAGTTGCCTCTCCCTTTGACTGAGTTTTTCCTCCTCCCCATTTGTTTGAGAAGCCTCACTCTGTAGTCCTGGCTGACCTGGAACACAGAGATCCAATGGCTCTGCCTCCCGAGTGCTGAGATTAAAGGTGTGCGCTGCCACACCTGACTTCAGTGTTTTCCACTTACTATGTATAAAGATACCAATAAATATAGACCAACAAATAAATGAATCAATTCCTGAAGTTATTGATAACAATGTTTTATAACGTTGTCAAATTTAGATGACTGAAGAAATCTGTCACATAAGCACTGAATCTAGCAAAGGGTCAGTTAATATTTGTAGTATTTGGACAGTGGTGGCACACGCCTTTAATCCCAGCACTCGGGAGGCAGAGGCAGAGGCAGGTGGATTTCTGTGAGTTCTAGGACAAGCCTGGTCTACACAGAGAAACCCTGTCTTGAAAAACAAACAAACAAACAAAAAGAATGGAGATATTTGTAGTATTTATTTAGAAGCTGTGAGAGGAATACTGTTGGGGCTGCAGAGAAGGCTCAGTGGTTAAGGACACGTAGCTGCTGCTCTTCCAGGGGCCCAAGTTTGATTCCCAGCACTCAGATGGCAACTCACAACCATCTGCAACTCCACTAGGGGATCTGATACTGCCTTCTAGCCTCTGGGGGCATGGTATGCAGGCAAAGTACTCAGACAAACAAAAATAAAATAAGAATTCTTAAAGATTAATAATATCAAAAAGAAGCACAGATTCTATACAAAGGAAGTAATGACCAAGCACTTCTTTTTTGTTTGTTTTTGTTTTTAAAGACAGGGTTTCTCTGTGTAATAGCTTTGGTAGCTGTCCTGGAACTCACTCTGTAGACAAGGCTACCCTCAAACTCACAGAGATGCACATGCCTCTGCCTCTCGAGTGCTGGGATCAGAGGCGGCACCACCATTACCCAGCTGACCAAGCACTTCTTAGATAAACAATACAATTACAGACTAAAGATAAATTGGGGCTGGTAAGATGTCACAGTCAGAATTGTCTGCTACCAAGCCTGACGAAAGATCCCCTGGAATTCACTCTCATAAACTGCCCTCTAAACTCCACACACAAGCCATGGCACACACACACATTTTAGAACAAACATAAATTAGAAATAATTGGATTGAACTGATTTTTTTTTTTTTAAAGCCAGGGTTTCCACTGTTGTAGCCTTGGCTGTTGTGGAACTGTCTGTGTAGACCAGGCTGGCCTCAAACTCAGCAATCTGCCTGCCTCTGCCTCCTGAGTGCTGGGATTACAGGCGTGTGCTACCTCGCCCTGCTATGGGTGACTTTGTTTATGGTTAAGACAGGATCTCGTAATTCAGACTGGGCTGGCAATATCTATACAGTCTACACTGGCCTCAAATTCATGATCCTCCTGCCTTAACCTCCCAAGTGCTGGAATTACTGTTATGTGCTATCATGCCTGTCAGAAAGAGTAACTATAGAACTACAGAGAAAAGCTTTTAGAGTAAGGTCTAGTGGGGCTTAGTCACATAGATCTAATGCAAAGAATTATTATTATATGTTCCTAGATTCTACGGGTTTTTCCTGAATTACTATTACATTTTATCTCATACTGCTATTACCACCACATACTATTTAAGTTTTAAAATTAGCTACCCATGAACCAGCAATATGGCTCAAAGGGTAAAGCACTTACTGTGTAAGCCTGATCACCTGTTTGATCCCCAGAACCTACGGTGGATGGACTCTGAAATGTGGTCCCTTGAGCTCACACACATTGTAGCATGCACCCTCAATCAAGCCCACAAATCCATGTTAATAAAATAAAAAGAAAATGGGCTACTATATTTGGTCATTTGTACTAAATAAGAAACCAGCTACCTGCTATCTCCTGTTGGGTTAACCTGACTCTAGCTCTGGTGAAAAGGGTGATTTACCAGTTTCTAGACCAAAAAAGACATCGCAGGTCTCCTGAATCCACCTGAGCCGCTCTTTGTGACTAGAAGGCTTATTAGTAACTGCTACTCTCTTGTTTCTGCAGGGTCTCGAGGACTTCTAAGTAACTCTTACTCTCTTGTTTATGCAGGGTCTCGAGGACTTCTTAGTAACTGCTATTCTCTTGTTTATGCAGGGTCTCGAGGACTTCTTAATAACTGCTACTCTCTTGTTTCTGCAGGGTCTCGAGGACTTCTTAATAACTGCTACTCTCTTGTTTCTGCAGGGTCTCGAGGACTTATTAATAACTGCTACTCTCTTGTTTCTGCAGGGTCTCGAGTACCTTCGAACTCACTAAAAACCGAGGATGGCTCTGAACTACTGATCCTTCTGCCTCCATCTTTCAAATGCTAAAATTACAAACACGTAAAAGACAATAGCTTAGTTATTCCTCTTCTCAACTACACCAAATGAGTGAAAACACTTCAAAGTTTAGTCCTAGCCTCTTGGAAACCAGTCTTTCTGTGAGGGGAAAACAAAAGCAACCGTGTCTGGCTAAGCTTAATCTGAGAGAGTTGATGCGGACAGCCAGTCACCCTTGGAAATCATGAAGAGATGAACTAACAGTCAAGCCTTGCACCAGTCACCCTTGGAAATCATGAAGAGATGAACTAACAGTCAAGCCTTGCACCAGTCACCCTTGGAAATCATGAAGAGATGTACTAACAGTCAAGCCTTGCAGCAGAGTTTTGCTCTGTGCTGCCAACGACTGCTCCTCCAACATCACATCAGAGATCTGGGAGACACGAGCCGACACATTTTGTGGAATAGACAAGAGAGATCCAAGTGCTGTCGTGGTAATGGTGTCTAATGCAGAGACACTAGAAGACATGAGATTACCTACAAAAAGAGAGAGAGAGATGTGAACTTCGGCATAAATATATTTAAATGCAGTTAAGACTACTTTCAGTAAGTCAAAAATCAATCTTTATTATGGAATTTCCAATAACTAAAGAATTGTCTTACTACATAATAAGAAAAGATTTAACTTGGGAGGCAGAGCCAGGCGGATCTCTGTGAGTTCGAGGCCAGCCTGGGCTACCAAGTGAGTTCCAGGAAAGGCGCAAAGCTACACAGAGAAACCCTGTCTCGGGAAAAAAAAAAAAAAAAGAGAAAAGATTTAGATATGAATATTCTATAAGCCCTGGCATATTGAAAGCATATCATACTCAAGTACACCTTAGTATAATTTTTAAAATTAGAATATTTTTTCGTTGAGATGATTCTTTTTGTTTGTTTGCTTGTTTTGTGAGACAGGGTTTTTCTGTGTAGCTTTGGAGCCTGTCCCGGAACTCGCTCTGTAGACTAGGCTGGCCTCGAAGTTTGAGATGATCTTAATTCCAGTCAATCATACTTTAGCTTCCCAAGTGCTAGGACTGAAGGCACAAATCAGCAGATTTAAGAATTAGAATATGCAGCCGGGCGGTGGTGGCGCACGCCTTTGATCCCAGCACTCGGGAGCAGGGGCAGGAGGATCTCTGTGAGTTCGAGGCCAGCCTGGTCTACAGAGCGAGATCCAGGACAGCCAGGGCTACACAGAGAAACAAAAAAATTAAATGGGGTGGGGTGGGGTTACAATATTCTAAAATTAGTATCTAAAATAGACAGGTTGGGGTTTTTTTGTTTGTTTGTTTTTGTTTTTTTGTGACAGGGTTTCTCTGTGTAGCTTTGTGCCTTTCCTGGAACTCACTTGGTAGCCCAGGTGGGCCTCGAATTCACAGAGATCCTCCTGCCTCTGCCTCCCGAGTGCTGGGATTAAAGGCGTGCACCACCACCGCCTGGCAAATAGTTTTATAAAAAACAGGAATTTATAAAAAAGAGAAAACTACACATTATGGTGAAACTCACTTATATTCCCAGTACTTTAGAGGTAGAGACAGAAGGATCAGGTTCAGCTACATAGTTCAAGGTGACCCTCAGCTACATGGTAAGCTAGAAGTTAAACTGGGTTAAATGAGACTATCTCAAAAGAAAGCGTAAAACACAAAACATACATACATGTTCTGACAAGACAGCAAATCTTTACAATACACCTTCCCACAAGAAAAAAAAGTTGCAAGATAATTTATTCAAAGGAAATATCTAGGAAGGGGACTAGGTAAACACTTGCCACCAAGCTACCCGCCACCAAGCCTAGGGACCAGAGTTCAATCCCTGGGATCTACATGGGAGGGGAGAGAGGGAATCGCCCTCTGACCTCCAAGTGCATGTTATGGCAAAAACGCATTCACACACACACACACACACACACACACACACACACACACACACACACACACACACGAAATTACCAAATTTTTTAAATTATTTTTTTATTTTGTATTTATGTCTGTGCACTCAAAGATGCAAGCAGAGAGTATCAGATTGTTGTGAACTGTCATGTGGGTGCTGGGAATTAAACTACTCTCCCCAGCCACAATGTACAAAATTTTTAAAATAAGAACATTTTTAGGAAGAGACCCAAGAAATTAAATAGTAATACCTCAAAGAAATGAGTCAAGTTCAGTGATAAAGACAAATTTTATTTCTAATGATAACATACTAATTTGATAAATTTTTAACTTATTTTATAGAAAACAGTCTAAAATCAATGACAAGCCTCTAACATTTGTTGTAAAGAAACAAAAACATTAACCTCTTGTCTCAACAGCTAACATGTTCAATGGGACAGGTAACACAGTCACCTGAGTTGTTTGTTTGTTTAAAATAGTATTCAATTGTTTACTTTGAGATGTGTTGGCTCATACTTGTAACCCCAGCACTCAAGCTGAGGCAGGAGGATCACAAATTCAAAGCTAGCATGTGCTATAAAATGAGTTTTAAGTTCAACTTGTTCAAATTAGTCAGACCCTGTCTCAAGATAGACAGACACACACACAAAAAAAATGAAAATTATGAAATTAGCCGGGCGGTGGTGGCGCACGCCTTTAATCCCAGCACTCGGGAGGCAGAGCCAGGCGGATCTCTGTGAGTTCGAGGCCAGCCTGGGCTACCAAGTGAGTTCCAGGAGAGGTGCAAAGCTACACAGAGAAACCCTGTCTCGAAAAACCAGAAAAAAAGAAAATTATGAAATTAACACACGAAATATATAAAGAAAGACTGAGAATGGGCTGGGGATTTAGCTCAGTTGCCAGAGTACTTGCTTAATATGCACAAAGTCCTGGGTTCCATCTCTGCCATTGCATAGAACCTGGTGTGATAGCACAGGCCTGTCATCCCAGTACTCAAGTGGGAGACAGGAGAATTACATGTTCAAAATCGTCCTCTGGTATACACTAAGACCAGCCTAGGATACCTGTGACCCTGCCTCAGAAACAAACAAAAAAGACCAGAAAAGCTGAGTTTAGTGATACTCTTTCTGTAATCTTAGTGCTTACGAAGCAGAGACAGAAGGATTATTAGTTAGAAACCAGCTGGTCTACTGGTGAGGGAAGGCAGGAAGGGGAGGGAGATATTGAGGAGAGGAGGGAGGGGAAGAAGTGGGAGGGGGAGGAGTGAAAGGTAGAAAGAGAGAGAAGAGAGTGTGAAAGTGAGTGAGTGAGTGAGCTAGCCTGGGGTTCAACTGAGCCAGCCAGCCAGCCTCGTCCACTTGGCCAACGAAAGATTTTGTCTCAAAGAAAGAAGGTGGCTGGCTGGAGACATGGCCCAACAGCTAGGAGCATACACTGCTCTGCCAGAGGTGGAGTTTGACTCCCAACACCTATATCAGGAGCTTTTATTCCAATGGAGGGAATCCACCCCTCTAGCCTCACACACAGAGACATACATGTAATTAAAAATAAAATAACTTGTTGTAGAATACTATTTTAAGGTGTGTTACTTCTGTTTATGTTGCATTTGTTTAACCATCTGTGAAGCTGTGTTACTTTGCCTGTCTAAACACTTGGTGGTCTAATAAAGAACTGAATGGCCACTAGCAAGGCAGGAGAAAGGATAGGTGGGGCTGGGAGGCAGAAAGAATATACAGGAGAAATCTGGAAAAAGAAAAAGGAGTAGCTAGAGAAGGGGCCAGCCACCCAGCTACACAGCCAGCCACGGATTAAGAGTGAAAGTAAGATTACAGAAGTAAGAACAGGAAAAAGCCCAGAGGCAAAACGTAGAAGGGATAATTTAAAGTTAAGAAAAGCTGGCTAACAACAAGCCAAGCTAAGGCCGAGCATTTATAATAAAGAATAAGCCTCCAAGCCGGGCGGTGGTGGTGCATACCTTTAATCCCAGCACTCAGGAAGCAGAACCAGGAGATCTCTGTGAGTTCGAGGCCAGCCTGGTCTACAGAGTGAGATCCAGGACAGGCACCAAAACTACACAGAGAAACCCTGTCTCGAAAAACCAAAAAAAAAAAGAAAAGAAAAAAGCCTCCATATGTGGGAGCTGGGTGGCAGGCCCCCCAAAAGAGTAAAAAGAAACAACAACAATAACTCTTTTAAAAAGTGAATGGTCCCTAAGGAATAACATTCAAGGTTGTCCTTTGGTTTCTATATTCATATACACACACATCCACAGGACACACCCACAGAAATGCTTGAACTTACCAAACAGTGTCTTATGAACTTCTAGCATGGCCTTTTGTTTTGCGCTGCCATCCTTAATTAATTCTTCCATATCATTAAACAGACTGTTGAGGTTTTTGCCAAAACTATCTTGAGCTTCAGCATTGTGTTTATCAATTGCTCTTTTACGGTCCAGTTTAGAATGGAGACCAGATACATCCCTGGTGGTTTCTTTAACCGTGTGAAGCAACTGTATGTTTAAAAAACAAACAAAACAAAAAAGATAACATAAAAACAGTCTACTCAAAGTGCTTGTGTTCCATAAAGCTCTTTCCTAGGTGAGAACAAGACACTCTAATGATCCAGGTGCTCGAGTTAGGGTTAGTCCCCACCAACCCTGCTCTCTCTCCCAGCCAGCCATCCTGCACAGAAAACTGACCTGGCAAATTTATTCCAGTAATTATGTTTGGCACAAATGTTTTTCCCTTTGCTTTATTGTCTCCTCAAAAGTATACCTAATACTTTCATTCCAGTTTAAAAAAGAAACATAGGTCAAATAGTGAAATACTGTTTCATAAATGAACACAAATAACATTTGGAATGAATAAATTAAAATCTCATAATCAAAGTTAAGCAAACAAGGATACTTCTACCTACCCTTCAATGTTTTCAATACAAAGGACAAACCTTGCTGGCGGTAGCATGAAGCTTTTCCTCAGTTTTTTCCAAGGCTGAAGAGACATATTCCTCTTTAACAAGCTGTAATTTTGTTTCTTGCAAATGTTTCTGAGTGGTTTCAAGTTCCTGTGTCTTAGTTTGCAGGTGAGATTTACACTGGTCAAGTTCATTTTTACTCTCCACAAATAACTCTGTAACCTACACATAATACATTCAACAATTCTTTAAGAAGCAGAAAAATGCTGGTGGTTGGTGAAACAGTTGGCTAGTTAATAATATTGGGAAAACAAAACAAATTATTCAAATATAAAAAATCGTAATAGTGTGCCAGACTGATTAGAACACTTTAATGGTAGTATCTGTGCTGTGGGATGGTCTGTATGTCAAATGTGTTGCTGATTGGTCAGTAAATAAATCACTGATTGGTCCATGGCCAGGCAGGAAGTATAGGCGGGACAAGGAGGAGAATAGAGCTGGGAAGTGGAAGGCTGAGTCAGAGAGACACTGCCAGCCGCCATGAGGACAAGGAAGATGTAAAGTACCGGTAAGCCACAAGCCACGTGGCAAGGTATAGATTAATAGAAATGGATTAATTTAAGCTGTAAGAACAGTTAGCAAGAAGCCTGCCATGGTCATACAGTTTGTAAGCAATATAAGTCTCTGTGTTTACTTGGTCGGGTCTGAATGGCTGTGGGACTGGCGGGTGTCAGAGATTTGTCCTGACTGTGGGCAGTCAGGAAAACTCTAGCAACAAATGGCGCCCAACGTGGTGGCAAGAGTTTCCACCTAAAACCTGAGAAAAAAGATTCTAAAACGGAGCTAAAAACAGCTCCTAGTTGTCTCTTTTAAGCTAGCGGCAGCCTGCGGTTTGAGCTACTATGGCGGGTTCCTAGTGTGCGTGCTCGACCTGCCACCATATGGCGGGAATGAGGTCTCTGCAAGTGGCACATTAAGCTATGTGGTGGATTTAGCCTTTGCTAGTACAAAAAAAAAAAAAAAAAGAGGTTTCTGGGCTACATGCTGCTTGGATAAAAGCATAGACCCACGATGGCTCCCAGAGCTGGCGGTAAGCATACCGCCGCCATGTTGGGAAGCTGAAGGAAGAAGTATCTTTCTTCCTAGAAAGCTCATTCAAAACTTAACAGGTCTAACATAGTAGTGTTGATTCTCCAGGTTCCCTCCAGGACTTCAGTGGATTGCCGTTAATAAAGGTGCAACATGAGGGTGGCGCAGAAAGCGACCAGTTGCTTTTCTAACTGTCCAATGTCTCCCAATTTCTGAAATCCCTAACTTGAAAAGGAGCGGGGGAGAAAGCTCAACTGGTGTAACGTTTACCTAGCATAAACGAAGCCCCAGGTTCCATCCCCAGCTCTGCAAAAAACAAGGCCTGGTGATGCACTGCTATAATCCAAGGTAGAGATAGGAGAATCAGAAGTTCAATGTCATCCTTGGCTACAGCACAGTTTTGCTGCTCTTTTGTAGAAGAGTCTTTTCATGCAGCCCTGGATAGCCTGAAACTCACTACACGGACTAGGCTGGCCTCTAACTCAGAGATCCACCTGCCTCTGCCTTCTAAGTAATTAAAGGCATGTGTTTGAGTCTAGCCTAGACCTACAAGAGACTTGTATACCATAAATCCTAGGCCTGTAGTAGGCTTTGGAGGTTTGTACAAGTATACTCTGTAGTGTTTATACAACAATGAAATCATTTAAAATACATTTCTCAAAAACATAACCTAGTCATTAAGCAAATGTCTGATTTCTTCTAAAGTTGTATTAATAAAGTGTCAAAATAGGAGCTTTTTCATTACTAACAAAGGTAAAAATATAATACAACTTCAGCTTAAGAATCAAAAAGAAAAAAATTCTTTCAAAAGAGAAAAAAATGTCCCTACACATTCTAAATTTTTTTCAGCATTTCCTTTTCAAGTGACCTTGCACATCATCCAGAATGCCTACCTTACTGAGATCCTCCTCAAGAACATCGATTTTTCCAGCCAACTCAACAATTTGTTCCTCCTGAACAGTTAATTTTCCATTCATGGCTCTAAAACAGGGTGTAATAGACATTTAGCAGTTAATGTTTTATTCTAAATCCTACAAAATTTTAATCTAATTGTATAACAAAATACAACATATTATAACAAAATTATAGCAGCTACATAAATTCATCTCCACACTTCTTACCCTCATGTGTTACTTAAGTGGTGATAAACACTAAATGCAAAATGCAACAAATGCATCCTTTTTTTTTTGAAGATTTACTTATTTTTAGTTTATGGATGAGTGTTTTTGTCTGCATGTATGTCTGTGTACTACTTACATGCCTGGTGCCCATGGCGACTAGAAGAGGGCATCAGATCCTCCTGCAACTGGAATTACAGTCGGTTGTAAGCCACCATGTCAATGATGAAAATTAAACCTGGATCCTCTGGAAGATCCAGGGCTCTCAACAATTAAACCATCCCTCCAGTCCCTCACTGCTTTTTATAAATGGAACATTTCTCATTTGACCTCTACCCTGAAACTGAGAACCTTTATCTACAAAGGAAAGGCATGTGTACGCAAATGCAATTGAGATGCAAAGGAGTTGGGGGTTAACTCAGTAACAGGGTGCTTGTTGGCAAGCACAAGAGACTCTGGATTTGGTACCTAGCACTACAAAATACATCTAAAATGAAAACTATGTTGAGAAGATAGAAAACTGATGGAGAGGCCAGGCGGTGGTGGCACACGCCTTTAATCCCAGCACTCAGGAGGCAGAGGCAGGCAGATCTGAGGCCGGCCTGGTCTACAGAGAGTTCCAAGATAGCCAGGGTTATAAAGAGAAACCCTGTCTCGAAAACAAAACAATTTAAAAAAGAAAAAAACCTGACAATGGGGAAGGTAACAAAAAGTGGGGATGGGGAGTATGTAAGTGGCTACAATCAGTGGATCAGTGATATGTAATATAAAGATGCCTCCCCAGGCTGTAAGTGTTTAAGACTTGAAGACATGAAACATCACAAGAAATGAGCGAGATAAATGACGAAAGCCACCTAGAGACCAAATCAAAGTATGTATACAGAACAATATCAATCCTCAGTATCTACAGGGGATGCCGCACACAGTTATACTAACACTAGGTATACTGTAAACACCACTAATATACTAGTATGAGATTCACTAGGGCAGGATTTCTCAGCTTCAGCAGTACAGGTGCTTTGTGCAAGATAGTTCTTTGTTGTGGGCTACCATGCACATTTCAGGATAGTCAGTTAACACCACTGATTCCTATCTACTAGAAGACCGCAGTATTCTCCACCCACACCAATGAGACCATCAAAAGGCCTGGATGAGATCTGGCATGGTGCAGAAATGTAGATCTGTTTTGCATACTTAGCCTTTGTGCTTTCTCCAATGTATATGTTAACAGTTCAGATCTGAGCACAGGTGTGTTTAAACGGCGCTGCTATGAAACAACAATCACAATGTCTCCTTCAGGGTGTCAGTAGAAACAACAGGAAGATGACCTGATATCCTGCTGAAAGGATGGATAAGTGCCCCACCCTATTCCAGAAGCAAAGTAATGGATTTTTTCTTAAAATAAAAACAGGAGTATATTACCTTAAATGTGTTTGCTTGTTAGAACATATTAAGATGTATTTATTTGCTACTAGCATAGAACATTTTATGCATTTTTATAACTACATTCTTATCTTCATATCTTCATATTTTTACTCCAAGTGGGTAAGCTAGTGTTGATACTGAGATGAAAATGTATACTCTCAAGAGCTAGGTCTTAATTCTACTGAGCTGGACAGACTTTTATTACTGCCTCTCCCCTCACTGAGCAGTGCTGTCCAGAAAAGGTGACAGCGTCAGTGCTCATCTGGACCTCTTTCCACCAAAAGAAGTCCCTACTTGGTTGGTCTTTTTGTTTGTTTGTTGTTTTGTTTTTTGAGATAGGGTTTCTATGTGTAGCCCTGGCTGTCCTGGATCCAGTTCTGTAGGCCAGGCTGGCCTCAAAATCAGAGATCTGCCTGCCTCTGCCTCCCAAGTACTGGGATTGAAGGTGTGTGCCACCACTGCCTGGCTAGAAGCCTCTACTTCTAAGTGTAGGAAATCATCAGAGCTATCAGGTTGGACTTGGCCGTGGGGAACAAGTGACAGAACCAGATCCATGAAAACAGCCTAAACTTTTGGTGCATGGAAAATGAGTTCTTGAATATTTGTAATCTTTGTTAAATACGTACTATGAGAACCTTTAATATTTCTGTTTTTGTTTTTTGTTTGTTTGTTTGTTTTTCAGAGACAGGGTTTCTCTGTGTAGCTTTGCGCCTTTCCTGGAACTCACTCTGTAGCCCAGGCTGGACTCGAACTCACAGAGATCTGCCTGCCTCTGCCTCCTGAGTGCTGGCATTAAAGGTGTGAGCCACCACCGCCCGGCTAATGTTTCTGTTTTAATGAATGGAGAAAACATGAGAAAAATCATTTGGACCTGTTAATACTACATTTTAAAAATGTATTTGACAGCGTTATAGTTATAACAATAAAACTGAAGTTTTTCAGGGGCAATACTAATTTATTTTTTAAACCAGAAAGATAACACCATATTGATTACTTACCACAGGAAGAAAAATAAATGCTGAAAAAGAAATCAACCCACAAAATTTATCTTAAGAAATACAGTGGATGAGTGAGTGCTTGGCTCAAGAGCTCAGACTTTCTATGTGGGTGAGATTACCCAGTACTCCATGCTCAGGATTAACAAAAGGTTATGGGTGAGATTTTTAGAACATTTAATATACCTAGACTGTGATTTGATTTATAACTCAAGAAGAAAAGCCAGTTGGCCTAGAGTCTAGTGAGCTTAATTCAGATCCTAATACACTGCAAGTGCTGGAAAGTCCTGGCTAAATTTTAAAGTGATTTCTCTGGGAACTTCCATATCGTGCCATCTTATCAAATGGGCTCAGGAACTGTAGTAGCAGAGAGCTGTGTGTAGAGAACACTTGAATCACAGCCCTGGGCTCTGGGGGACAGTCTTGTTCTCAGACCCAGACACCAGCAGAACCTTTTAGGCTCACTCAGGAACTGGGTGTCTCCCAAGCCACATGGAATATCAGGAAGATTTTTAAGTTTTAGAAATCTTTATTTGTAGAATGATAGAACTAACCAAAAATAATACTAAAAAAGCAAAATGCATTGAGAAAGGTCAGGTTTTAAGAATATTTTTTTTCCTCATGATAAATTTCTCAATGGCATTTTATTACAAACTAGATTTTCATTAAGAAAAACCTGCCATGTTGCAACTTCAACATTTAAGTTCTGCTTCATGCTACTTTTCATCTGTATTTCAAATCTTCACAGGCCTATTTCGTTTCATAGACCTGAATGACACACTGTTTCTCACCTTCCATCTGCTCAAGTTAAATGTTAAAGAATGTTGTGTAAAGCTCAGCCAATAAAGTCTTTGATTAAAACAAGAGGCCTGGATGTTGCTGAGTATCCTCTAGGGGGCAATGAAGCTCCTTCCTGAGAGCCAGGAGTCTGCACTCACTGCGTGTGAACTTCAGCTTGCCTCTCAATGAAGAGCCAGGCATTTGAACGAAAATCCACACAGTGAATGGGAGCTCCTCGGCACTTGAACCCATTCTAATTGTTCACAGTGGCCAGAGTAACCAGAGAACTGGGTGAGTATTCTCAGAAGGATTGAAGGGCTTTGCCCTACAAAAAATTCAACCAAGGAAAACTTGTGAAGGAAGCCCAGACATAATTCCAGGTACCACTCTTTATTACACTCCAGCCAACGTACAGGACTATAAACCTCACCCCTGACAAAACTAATAATCCATATTTTAATGCCAGCTAAAAGTCACTAGACAGTTAAGGAAACAAACACAAGTAACAGAAAGTAAAAAGGATCCTGAAATATCGGCGGTGATAGCCTATGCCTTTAATTCCAGCACTCAGGAGACAGAGGCAAGAGGATCGCTTTAAAGCCAGCCTGGTCGACAGAGCGAGTCCCAGGGCAGCTAGGGCTACACAGAGAAACCCTGTCTTGAAAACACAAGACAAAACACCACCACCACCCCCCAAAAAGGAAAAGATCCTGAAGAGTAAACTTTAATAATACTAGTAATTTTCTGAGGAGTGCAATCAACCTACACAATAGGACACCATATTCTCTAAAGGTCAGGAAAGATGTGGTAGAGCTCTTACAAGCTAAAACTGGTACAACAGAAATAAAACTCAGCAAAATATCTTAACATTAAATCAAAGTCTAAAAGGTAAAATAGCCAGGTGGTGGTGGCACACGCCTTTAATCCCAGCACTCTGGAGGCAGAAGCAGGTGGATCTCTGAGTTCAAGGCCAGCCTGGTCTGTAGAGCAAGTTCCAGGACTGTCAGGGCTACACAGAAACCCTGTCTCAAAAAAACAAAACAAGCCGAGCAGCAGTGGCGCCCGCCTTTGGTCCCAGCACTTGGGAGGCAGAGGCAGGTGGATCTCTGAGTTTAAGGCCATCCTGGTCTACAGATCGAGATCCAGGACAGGCTCCAAAAGCTACACAGAGAAACCCTGTCTCGAAAAACCAAAACAAGACAAAAGGTAAAAATAAAGTATGATGAACAATTCTTCTTAAAGATAGGCTGGCTTCAAACTCAGAGATCTGTCTTTGCCTCCTGTGTGCTTGGATTAAAGGCAAGGAACACCATACCTGGCTGAAGTAAGCTTTTAAACACAAAACTCACAGGCCTTCCAGACCCACTTGAATGGGTTTACACTGATTCCTGAGGGTTAGGAAATTTCAGAAATGACAAGGTAGGTGGTTTAGCTCTAGTCTAGAACTGTCAGAGGATAGGACTCATAATGAAAAGAGAAGATGAACGTGACCTTAAAGAAGAGGCAAAAACAGGTTTATGTATCTTCACTGCAGTGATGGTTACACAAATGTGTCACAATGGTACAGAGCCATACATACAAAAGGTACCAGTGTCAATCTCCTATGTTTACTATTGAATCACGGTTACATAAATGAATATTGGTGGAAACTGGGTAAATAATACATGGGGAGCCAGGTGTTAGGACCCACACCTGTAATTTTAGTACTCAGAAAGATGAAGTAGGATTGTTATAAATCCAAGGCCAGCCTGATCTAGTTCAAGGCCAGCTAGTACCACAGAGCAGACCCGTGTCTTAAACAATAATGAAAGGGCTGAGGATGTGACTCAAATGGTGAAGGATCTGTTTGTGTCCAAAGCCCTGGGTTTGATCCCCAGGACTACATAAAACTAAGCATGGTGGCACATGCCTGTACCCAGCACTTTGGAGGTGGAGGCAGGAGGATCAAAAGTTAAAGGACATCCTTGACTACACAATGAGCTTGACCAGTCTAGACTACACAAGACCCTGCCTGGATAAATAATCATCAGGCAGGTGGCTTTCTGTACTCTCAGAACTTTTCACATAAACAAATAATTATTTCAAAATAAAAAGCTAAAAGACTTTTTAAAAAGTGTTTCATAACATCGTGTGTGTGTGTGTGTGTGTGTGTGTGTGTAAACATTTATTTGGTGAGGGAGATGGTGGAACTTCTGGAGGACTGGTTCCCTCCTCCTCTCATATGGGTTTGAGGACTCAGGTCCTCAGGCTTGGTAGCAATCACCTTTACCCAATGACCCATCTCACGGATCAGAGCTTTACTTTTGAGACCAGTCTTGCTATGTGGCCCAGACTAGCATCAAATTCCATCTCTGCCTCCTGGGGCATGCCACTTAAAAAAACAACAACGCCGGGCGGTGGTGGCGCACGCCTTTAAACCCTGTCTCAAAAAACCAAAAAAAAAAAAAAAAAATTATTTATTTAATTATTTATTTGTGTGTGCATGCACACACATGTGCACAATATCACAGCACACATGTGGAGGTCAAAGGTCAATGTGTGGAAGCCAGCTCTTTCCGTCCACCATGTGGGTTGCAGACATCAAACTGAAGTCATCAGACCCTGCAGCAGGTACCTTTACACACTGCCACCTCACTGGCCCAGTAACTACTTTTTAACGTCAAACCAAAGGAAGTACTTATTGGCAGTAGACACCATTTCCTTATCACTGTATAAGTAAATTTTACTCCAATCTACCTGTTATCTGAAAGTATAGCTTTCAGAGATGGGTACATTAGCACACTTTTGTAATTCCAGTAACTGTGTATGAGGCTGAAGCAGGATTCAGAGAGCTCCAGACCAGCCTGGGCTATATATATAGTGAAACCATCTCCAAAAACAAAAATAAGGGGCTGAGAGATGGCTCATCAGTTAAGAGCTCTGTCTGCTGTCTGGGAAACTGAGTTCGGTTCCCAGCACCACATGGCAGCTCATAGCTGTTTATAATTCCATTTCCAGGAGACCTGGTGCCCTCTTCTGGTCCCTACAGCACATCCTGAGTTGGGTACACAGACATACATGCAGGCAACTGTGCATATGTTTAAAATAAGTAAACTTAAAAATATATATATATACCAACTCCACAGCCAAAGGCTTACCTAAAATTTTCTTCAGAGATGTACACTCCATTTTTCTCACGGGCTGCAGCAAGATCTCTCTTCAGTCGCTCTATCTCTTCTGTATACTCCTACACAAAAGCAGGTTAGAGAATGTATCAAGTTAGTCGTTTTCGTTCTATCATTCAGTGTGCAGGAAATACATCATGTTAGCCCTTTATGTTTTTCGAACATAAAAAGTTATAATCATACTTTAAAAAAAAAAAAAGGATTTCACTCCGAAACCCAGGCTGACCTTGAACTTATGGCAATCTTCAGTCTCGGCCTTTGAAATACTGAGATCACCCCTAGCCCCAGGTATAACTATAGTTTTAAATCTATGCTAATTTGTCTAGAAATAGTCTTTCAATAGCCTTAATGAGTCCTTAAATGTGTTCATTATAAACATCTTATCTACCTTTGATCTCTACTGCTTTGATAAAATATCATTACCAAAAGAAACTTGGGGGGGGGGGTTTACTTAAGCTTACAACTCTCAGGTTGTACTCCATCACTGAGGGAAGTCAGGGCAGGAACCTGGAGGCAGGAACTCAAGCAGAGGCTATGGAGGAATGCCACTTACTGGCTTTGCTCCTCCTCATGGTTTGCTCGGCCCTCTGTCTTATATACTCAAGGACCATCTGGCTAGAGGCAGTACGATCCACAGTGAGCTGGGCCCTCCTACATCAATCACTAACTAAAAATATACCCCACAAGTTTGCCTCCAGTTTGGTTGGGGCGTTTTATGAATAGAGGTTCCCTTTGTCTAACTGACTCTAGTTTGTGTCAAGATGATAAAAACCCAGGACAATCAGAGACTCATTATACAACTACAACAGCAGTACTGGTGGAGGAAGACATGAATTCATAAATGGGATAGAACAGAGTCCAGAAGTAGGCTCACATCAATCTGGAAAACTTGATATACTAGACAACACCAAAGATGAGGAGCCGTACAACAAAGGAGGGAAACATGTTTGCAAACCTCAAATCCAGAAAACTTCCTATGTAACAAAGTAACCAAAATATATTACATTAAGAACTCGAAGGGCTGGAGAGATGGCTCAGCAGTTAAGAGCACTGCTTGTTCCTCCAGAGGACCGGAGTCAATTCCCAGCGCACGCGCGCGCGCACGCGCACACGCACACACACACACACACACACACACACACACACACACACACACACACACACACACACACACACAGTGGCTCACAGACATCTACAACTCTAGCTCCAGGGGAGCTGACACGCTCTTCTTGCTTCCACTGGTGCTGCATACATGAGGTAAACACACTCGCAGGGGAAACACCCCTATACATTAAAAAAACAAAAGTCTAAAACACCAATAAGAGAACAACCAACCCATTAGGAAATAGTGCTAAAGCCATAAACAAACATATCACCAAAAAGTACATCTGAGCTGGATGGTGGTGGCACACACCTTTAACCCAGCACTCAGGAGGCAGAGGAAGGCAGATCTCTGAGTTTGAGGCCAGTCTGGTCTACAGAGTGAGTTCTAGGACAGCCAGGGCTCCACAGAGACACCCTGCCTTGAAAAGCAAAACAAACAAACAAACAAAAAGGACATATGAATATAATGTAATATAACACAAGAGAAGATGTTCAACATCACTGGTCATTAGGGAAATGTAAGTTAAAACCAAGTGATATAACTAACGCCCACCAAATGCTGCTGAGGATGTAGAGAAACTCATCACTTAGGTTGCTAGTGGGAAGGCAAGATTATATAGCCACTCTAAAGAATAGTTTAGTAGAGTTGGGCATACGGTGCATGCCTGTAAGTCCAGCACTCAGGAAGCAGAGGCAGAAGGATTCCATGCCAGCCTGAGCTACAGAGTGAGACTCAACTCCACCCCACCACAAGAAAGTACTTTAGTCATTCCTTAAAAACTGAAGTACACAGTTACCACATATCACAGCAAATTCACTCCCTGACAATTACCACAAAGGAATGAAAGTGTAATTCCAGAAGAGGTGTCTCGACTGCTAAAAGCATTGGCCACAAAATCCTGACAACCTGAGTTCGATCCCTGGAACCCACAGTTAGGGTTAGGGTTAGGGTCAGGGTCAGGCTAGGGTTAGAAGGAAGAGACTTTTGAAAGCTGCCATCCGACTTTCACATGTACGCCACGGCACACACATGGACAGACACAGTTCATAGTTAGAAGTAAAAATTGTCAATGAAAATGTGCTGTGGTGGTTCGGATGACAATAGCCCCCCACAGGCTCACACGTTGGAACCCTTGGTTCCCAGCTGGACTGTCAGGAAGGAGGAGTAGGAGTTGTGGCCTTGTTGGAGGAAGTATGTCAGTGGGGTGCCAGGCTCAGTCTTGCTCTCTCTGCCGCCTCCATCTTTCCGATCCGGTGTGCGCTCTCAGTCCCACTCCTGTGCCATGCCTGCCTACCAACGATGCTCGCCACCACCACGACCACAGCCCAACCCTTTGAAACCGCCACCAAATCCCCAACCAAATGCTTTATTTTATAGGTTGCCTTGGTCATGGTGTCTCCTCACACACAGCAATCAGAACAGTAAATAAGACATGTATGTTTACACAAATGCCTATGAATTAATATAAATAGCAGTTTCATTTGAAACAGAAAAAAACTAAAGTTATTCAATAAATCATTTAAGATGGTCACACAAATTATACAAATAGTTCAGACACCATAAAACACTCATCACTACAAAGACCTGTTGAGATACCTGACAATTTGGGTGAGACCTCCAGAGAATAATACAAAATTTAAAAAGACAACTCCAAAAGTCTATGTGCTATAGACAATTCCCTTCAATAATACTTCTGAAACTACAGAATTGTACAGAACAGAGTAGTGAGTACAGGAATTAGAGCTAAGAAGAGAGGAAGATTAAGTGTTTTATAGCATTTTGGGAAAAAACCTATTGGCTGGTGGATGTTTAAATGAAGTTTAGTATTATCCATATATTGAAATATTATTCAGCAAAATAAAGGATAAACTACTGGCACATATCCACAACAGCATAAATAAAATCAAGTAAAAGATAGAGGCAAAGGCCATGTAGTATATGATTCTCCTAGGAAATGTGTACGAAGAGCAAACTATCTACAGAAAGTGTACTGATAAGCCAGGCATGGTGGTTCATACCTGCAATCCCAGCACTAAAGAGGCTGAGCAGGAGGGTCAGGAAACAAATACCAGAATACAAACTAGGATTCTGCTTAAGAACAAAACAAAGAGACAGACAGACAGACAAAGGGAAAGGATATCAGTAGTCACTTGATTACAAAAAAAGGAAACCACAATGTTAATTTTTTTTCTAAAAGTGAATTGTACAGATGTTGGATAACTACATCAATGTATTAAAATCGTTGAAATAAGTGCTGACAAGAGGTAAATGTCAGTGAGTAAATTTCACCGCAAAGATGCAAACAAAATCCATACTTGTTGACATGAATGCTGTCAAGAGTGTCAACGAGGACAACAATAAAGCTGGAATGCCCACATATCGCTGTTAGAAGAACGCTGTAACGCGCAGGCACTTATTTTAAGTCATGACATAAACTGCCGACCACAGGGGCTGGTGATGCAGCCTAGTGGCAGCAGGTCTCCAGAACCAGCCTGGACAGTGAGTCAGTGAGACCCTCACTCAATAACAAATGTCTACAACAAGTAATTTAACAAATCTTGATTAACTTTGAGCGGTTGCTATCCTTAGCCAGGTCAGGTGGGACATGCCTTCTTTAATCCCAGCACTTGGGAGAGAGAGGCAGGCAGTCGCTGTGAATTCGAGGCCAGTCTGGTCTACAGATCGAGTTCCAGGACAGCCAGGCCTACACAGAGAAACCCTGTCTCGGGAATAAAAAAACAAAAGCAAAAACAGTGATCTCTTGCTATTCCGTATTTCAGATATGCCAAACACAATTACATCATTCCACACAAATTCACAATTACCTTAATAAGAGCTTTTTTAGTTAGTTTCTGATTGACTTCAGGCTTATTCATTATGTTCTTCGCTCTGTGAGCATATTCCAACGTACTCAGAGTTTCCTATCATGGAAAGGAAAAGTTAATTACTGAAGGCATGAGGATGAAGATAAGATACTTTTGTTATTTAAAATGTACCTGGGGGAGGGGAAAGGATGCAGCTGTCTTTGAGTCATTTCTGCTTTTATAAGTAATCTTTCACTCATATTACTATAAGTAACCCTAATAAAACCCATCGGTTCACCAAGGTGAGCTCTGGTAATGTGTTTACTTTGGTCTGGCATGCATTCTAGCTGAGGTGAGTAGACATTTGTCCATGAGATCCCAGCAACAGTGTCACACAACACCTATATTTATATAATTAAATATTATGCATCCATAAAAAAGAATACAGTGTTGATGTATAGCACAATTTTAGCATAGTATGCTAATATATCATAATGAAAATAGTAATACTAAGTATAAGAAGTCAGAACCCCAAAAAAGACTTGACTGGGTCTAAGTTCTCAATGAACCCATACACACCACCCATCACTACTGACCTTCAGCAATCTTTTTTTTTTAATGTGTATGTGTGTTTTGCCTGCATGTATGACTGTGCACTCTGTGTGGGGCTGGTGCCTGAGGCAACCAGAAGAGGGCATCAGTTACAAATGGAGTTACAGATAGTTGTGAGTCACCATGTGGGTGCTGGAAATCCAAAACTGGTCCCCTGGAAGAAAGAGCAGCCAGAGCTCTTAACCATCAAGCCATTTTTCCAGCCACAGCTTTTTTTTTTTTTTTTTAATGTATGAAGGGTTGCAAGATGACTCAGTGAGCAAAGGTACTTGTCACCAAGCCAAATGACCTGAACTTGATTTCTGGAGCCCACGTTAGAAGTGGGGGACTGACAACCTTTCTGACTCCTATCTGTATGCCCAACACATAAGTAAACAAATGAATATAAAAAATGCTGTGGATTATGCTCATTGTTAATAAAAAACTGACAGGCCGGTAGCTGGGCCAGCAGTTAGGCCAGAAAACAAAACTGAGAATGCCGGGAAGGAGGACGGAACCAGGAGTTGCCAGCCAGACACAGAGGAAGCAAGATGAGATGTGCTGAGAAAAGGTACCAAGCCACGTGGCTAAACATAGGTAAGAATTATGGGCTAGTTCAAGTGTAAGAGCTAGTTAGTATTTAGCCTGAACTACCAGCAAGCATTTATAAGTAATATTAAGCCTGTGAGTGCTTATCTGGGAAGTGGGGGGCAGAAGAGAACAGTCTACAAAAAAATATTTTAGCTGGGCGGTGGTGGCACCACGCCTTTAATCCCAGCACTCGGAGGCAGAGGCAGGCCGATCTCTGAGTTTGAGGCTAACCTGGTCTACAGAGCAAGTGCCAGGACAGCCAGGACTACACAGAGAAACCCTGTCTCGAAAAACCAAAACAGAAACAAGAAACAACTTTTTATTTTTTTTTAAAACATTACAAAGCCAGTTTAATAGCATATGCCTATCGTCACAGCACTTTGGAAGCTGAGGCAGGGAGATCACAAGTCTTGGCCAGCCTGAAAGACACAGCAAAATCCTATCTCAAAGAAAACTAGCAGAGAGAGAGAGAGAGAGACAGAGAGAGAGAGAGAGAGACAGAGAGACAGAGACAGAGAGAGGGGGAAAAAAGGAACCACTCTGGAAGTCATAACTGGCTTTTGATCATAGTGGCATCCTCTAGGATATGTTCATATACAATGTCCAGATTCTTATATATTACAGTATAGAAAGAAGCAAGTAAATGAACTTAGAAATCTGACAGCTAGGAAAGACTTACAGTCCCCACATTTGCTGCTTTTCTCAAAGGGCTTACCTCGAGATTGAGAGATGCAGGGGAAATAGTTGCAATTATAGACGTTCTTGTTCGTCCCCCCAAGAGAATCTTGCAGGATTCTAGTCAGTTTAGATTCTCGATAAGGAATATGAGGTGTTCTTTCCACAAGAGCAGTAATAACTCTTCCCAAAGTCAACAGGGACTGGTTGATATTTCCAGCTTCCCGGGCCCTCTTGTCAACAGCTCCAGAACGTCCAATATTTTCACTTCCTGCAAGGTCAACCTTTAATTTTAAACAGAAAATGTCAATCTATTATATTTGGATTCAAAGATTTGTATTCTTTTATATCTTTTATTATATGTAATATACTAAATGGCTAGCAAAATAAATTTTCAACAACAAATTTCTTCCTCTACGCCAAAGTAATGAATGAAGTTAACTATAAACGTACTGTATGTAAGTGAAATCCCAAGCTTCTCTAGAAGTAACCAAGAATAGCACAGTGGCATTCAGGCAGGATGCTTACCAAATTCAATTTTCCAATTTTAACAAGCTCTTCTCCATCAATTGTAGTTTCCTTCATATGTATTGTCACAGAAAAAACTGAATGGGAACGGCTAGAAAACAAGATCAGGTTGTCCACTCATTACAATGTAAAACATTATCTGTTCCCTACGAAATACTGAAAACAGGCAAGGAAGATCTAAATGCACAAGGGAAGACAAAGATACCATCAGTCAGAAAATAAAACGTGGGATGACAAAATTTCTACCCGCTACCTACTGTTGTATGATATTTTGTTTGTGTCTGACAAATAAAGCTGGCCTGGAGATCAGAGGACAGAGAGAGCCACCAGTTAACAGTAGAGGCCAGGCCTGGTGGCTCACACCATTAATCCCAGCACGTGGAGGAAGCAGGAAGATCAGGAGTTTAAGGTCACCCTGGGCTGCTATACAAGATTGAACCAGTCTAAAAAAAAAAGAGAAACAGTGCCAGGCAGTGGTGGCTCACACTTCTGATCCCAGCACCTGGGAGGCTCCATGCCTTTAATCCCAGCAGCAGGGAAGTGGAAATAGTAATATGGGGGTGGGGGGGGTGACAGGAGCTTGGCCCCATTCAGTCTGAGATATCCTTGAGGTAAGAACTCTCTGGTGGATGGTTCCTCTACTTCTCTGATCTTTCAGCTTTCACCCTGATATCTGACTCCGGGTTTTTATTTGATAAGACTAATTAGGGTCACAGTTCAACCTACAATACTGATCCTAAGAAGAAGCTATCAAAACTACCCTAGAACTTTTAGGGCTGGAGTTGTAGAGCCTGTATCTAGTACACATCAGTTCCTGGGTTCCATTCCCAGCAACACACACACAAAGAATTTTCAGGCACCTCTGAAAATGAGGAGTGTGTCTCAGAGCAGATGGCTCCCATCTAAAACATGGTTGCATTTATTAATGTCATTAGCAATGGAGAATATACTAACTTTTAATTTTCTTCTTTGTACTTTTAAAAATTCTTATTTTGCAAAAGTTATTTAAATTATAGAAGAGGGAAGGGTGCAAGAAAAAACAAACTATACATTTGAGTTCTTTTTATCTTATGTTTTCCCATTATTATCCACTGATTTAACTTTTTTTTTTTTGAGACAGGGTTTCTCTGTGTAGCTTTGTGCCTTTCCTGGAACTCACTCTGTAGCCCAGGCTGGCCTCGAACTCACAGAGATCCGCCTGGCTCTGCCTCCTGAGTGCTGGGATTAAAGATACAGTTTCATTAAACCAGTTACTTTCATTGAGACCAGATATGGTTTCATTTAAGTTATTTGTTTTGTTTTGTTGATTGGTTGGTTTTGAGACCATCTCACTATGTAGCCTCGGATGGCCGGGAATTCCACCTGCCTCTGCAGTATACGTGCTGGGATGAAGGCGTGTGCCACCACACCTATCTTTGGTTCGGGTTTTTGAATCAACAGAAGGGTTATAGATAAGATAGTTTGTGATTTAACGTTCTTTTGTTTGGAAGCAAGGTCTCAGTATGTAGTTGAGCTGGCCTATGTGCCCATCTGAACTACAGCTCCTGGGCCTCTGTCCTCAGCCTCCCAAATGCTGGAATTATGTATACAGTATTCTGCCTACAATGTAGGCTTGCAGGCCAGAAGAGGGCACCAGATCTCATTACGGATGGTTGTGAGCCACCATGCGGTTGCTGGGAATTGAACTCAGGACCTCTGGAAGAACAGCCAGTGCTCTTAACCTCTGAGCCATCTCTCCAGCCCCCAAATGCTGGAATTACAGATGTGAACCATCACGCCACAGCCAGCATACCATGAACTCACCTGAAAAAGAACTGTTACTACTTCTGCAACAATTTAACTTATCTTTGTTTTCCTTTCAACAATCTTCCAATATTGCTGCCCTTTTATGAGCCTGATGAGAAGAACCAAGAACTCCCCTTACAGCACCAAATCTACACTGAGACGCAGTCCCTACCTCGTGCTGACTTGATGCCTCCAGATCTCTCCCAAAGGGAGACGGAGCAAAGGAAGCAGCTCCCTTACCTAGAGTAAGCGTTCATCAGGGTCGCTGCAGTCGTCCGCTTCGCTGCCCCCTTCTCCAGAATTTGGTACACTTCATCTTTGTTGTGTACTGTGATTTCCTCTAAACCTTTGATTATCACTCCTCTCTAATTAAATATCAAAAGAATATCTATTACCTTATGAAGAAAAAGTACACTGACTTTTAAAAGACTCACACATTAAAATTCAGAAACTTTATTCTCAAACTGAGTTACCTTGTTCCGGGGATCATCAAACATCTGCAGCCTCTCAGAGACATCGGTGGATGAACTAAGAAGATCAAAAAGCTCTTCATTGTAGATTTCCAACAGAGACACTTTCACTGAAAATTCGGTGCCATTATCAGTTAGTTTCTCAAATATTTGATGAAGAGTGCGTGGAATTATACCAGCCAAAGGATCCTGAAATTATATTAATAAGAATTAAAATAAACTCAAAATGCCATTTACTACAGTTAAAACATGACCAAGCCCTCCTTCAGAATTTATTACTGCATTTGCAACACTGAAGATTGATCCCTAAGGCCTTACACATACTAGGCAAGTAATCTTCCACTGAGTTATACCCCATCCCTGTTTCTCTTTTTAGAGACAGGAGTCTCCCTTGAACCGCCCAGGTTGACCCCACACTTGAGATCCCTCTGCCTCAGTCTCCAGGGTATTTGGAATTATGGATACACACTGTCATACTCAACTCTAGTTTATTTAGGGTTTACTATACAGCCTAGATGGGCCCTGAATCTGCAATTCTCCTAACCCAGCCTCCCAAGTACTAGCATTCCAGTCACCAGCCACCACATCTGGCTTACAGTATATTTCAGTATGAGCCAGTTAACCCTTCTTATCCATTTGTTCTGCATTCTACCAATCACCAAAAAAACTTGAAAATTTTATCTGTACTGACCAAGTACAGACAGTTTCCTTGTCACTATTCCCTAAAAAAAGTGCAGTATAAACTGAGTGTGGTAGTGCGTGCCAGTAACTATAACACTTAGGATACAGAAAGAAGAGGATCAGTTCAAGGCCAGCCTCAATTATATAGTGATTTTAAGTTCAGCCTATGCTGCATAAGAACCTGTCTCAAAACACTCACCCCCCAAAACATAGTGCAACAATTATTTACATAGTACTTGCATTATATTGAGTATTACAAGTAACTTACAGATTATTTAAGCTGTTTGAAAGGATACATTTAACCTATCTACAAATACTGTACCATCTGATAAAAGAAGACTTACGCATCCTCAGACTTTGGTGTGTTTATATATGTATGTACTGGAATCAACCCCTTTCTGTTAATATTGAGGGATAACTATGCCAAAGCAAGTAAAAAACTAAAACCTAACTAATGTCATGTCAGAGAAGCCAAGTCACTTCAGTCTGAGTTATAGTCAACCACAATCTAAAAATATTAAATGGAAAATCCAGAAATAAACAGCTATGCCATTTAAAAATTGGGCATAATACTGAGCAGCACGATGAAATAATGCACCAGGGACGCGGATCACTCCCTTGACTATATGTGTCTACACTGCCTCTGCTTCCTACTTGATAGCCAGTTAGTAGCACCATAGTTATCAGATCCATTGATGCGATAGACAGTGTTAAATATTTGAGTAACTCTGATTTCATATAATCCCAGCACTATGGAGGCTGAGATACAATAACTATTACAAGTCCAAAGGCAATATATAGTGAGTTCCAAGCCAGCCTGGGTAATAGTATAACACCTTGGCTCAAAAAGTCAAAATAGCCGGGCGGTGGTGGCTCACGCCTTTAATCCCAGCACTCGGGAGGCAGAGCCAGGTGGATCTCTGTGAGTTCGAGGCCAGCCTGGACTACCAAGTGAGTTCCAGGAAAGGCGCAAAGCTACACAGAGAAACCCTGTCTCGAAAAACCAAAAAAAAAAAAAAAAAAAAAGTCAAAATAATGGTAGTAATAGTAGTAAAAATAATAATAATTTTGAACTATCACCTAAAGCACAATAGCAGTGATTCTAGAAATCTGGATATATGAAAGAGAAAAATGTAAAGTCCTCCATTTAAGTGACAAAGAACAGTATAAAATTTTGAGACAGAAACTATATTTGAATAACATAACAGAATATTGTTACATTTCTTATGTTATATTGTTAGTTATTATTGATAAAATTTTATTATGCCAAATTTATGAATTAGATGCTATTATAGGTACATAGGTAAGAAAAAGAAAAAAGCTATTTACTATTTTAGGTACCCACTACGGGTCTTGAAACATTAAACTCTTTCCCTACAGATAAAACAGAGCGGTAGGGAGAGAGACGACATTCTGCTCCTGCTATTCTGGAGTCTAACTATGACACCCACCCCACCTTTTTTGTTTTTTGAGACAGGGTTTCTCTGTGTAACCGCTCTGGCTGTCCTGGAATGCTGTAGACCAGGCTGGAATGCAAGAAATGCTCCTGCTTCTGCCTCCTGAGTGCTGGGATCAAAGGCATGCACCACCACCACCCAGCAAATAGACTCCCCCTCTTTTGTTGTTGGTTTTTTTTTTTTTGTTTTTTTTTTTTTTTTCGAGACAGGGTTTGTGTAGTTATGGTGCCTGTCCTGTAACTCGCTCTGTAAACCAGGCTGGCCTCAAACTCAGAGATCCACCTGGCTCTGCCTCCCAAGTGCTGGGATTAAAGGCGTGCGCCACCACTGCCCAGCTGACCCCCTCTTTTTATCACTTCACTGTATTGTATATGTTGGTCTCATCTCTCCTATTGAGACCATATATTTCTGATACATCAGTAATTTTACTAAAGTACTATTTATTGTACTTTAGTATAACTTAGGTTTATGGTTTGACTTGATTCTCTGATCTTCTACATCTCAACAGAGATCCATAACCAGGTTTTAATTGGCCAATTTTTTGTCACACTCAAGATAAAAGGATATTATAAACAATAAATACCTCCTCCCAGGTATATACTTCATTAGGTGACCTTTCACCTTCCATTGTAAAAGTTTTTCCAGTGCCAGTCTGGCCATATCTGTCAAAATTTCAAAAAAGCATTAAATTAAGAACAAATACACACATCTAAACATTCTTATCAACTTGAAAATTAGTTGTTTCGCTTACGCAAAGATGGTGCAGTTATAGCCCATAATAACTTCGTCTAGAATTGGACAAACAACACTTCGGTAGACGTCAATTTGTTTCGTGGATGCTCCAAACACCTATTTAAAAAAAACGAGAGAAGCTCTGAAAACACACCACTCATGGTAATCATTTTGCCCACTAGAACTCGCTCAGCAAACTTGAAGACAAAGTTCACAGTGGACCGTTTTCCAGGGATTACTTCACACTAGTGACTAATGGAAGAAGGCAGGAGAAAATAAGTACCATATCAAAAGTGTATGTTTTCCTTGAGGTCTTGTCAGTCAACCCTGCAGTTCGCACGCTAACTTCTTTCCGCACATGATCACATTCCACTACCGAGTGGGCGCTAGCTTTCCGTTCTGCCAAATTAAATGGTCTGTAAGGAGAAATACACGAAGTTAGGAACTTTTAGTTAACAAGTTCAATAACGACACTTTCCTTAACTACATTAATCAAGGAAATATGTGTAGCTGGACAGTGGTGGCTCACACGTTTAATCCCAGCACTTGGGAGGCAGATCTCAGAGTTCAAGGCCATCCTGGTCTACAAAGCAAGTTCCAGGACAAGTCCAGGCTACACAGAGAAACCTTATGTTGAAAAACCAAAAGATCAAAAGCATGGAGGGGTAGGGAAGAGCAAGGGAGAGGAAGGGGGGAGGGGAGGGAGAAAGAAAGAGTAACATGAAGTTGTTCATAGGGAATAAAGAGAAAATGACACTATAAAGCAGACAGTAGAATCATAAAGGCCTCAGTTCCCCAGAAATAAAATTCATTTTCAAAGATAGGTAAAACATTATAATTCTAGCAGTTCCTTCTTTCTCCCTCCGCCCTCTTCTTTTTCTTTTTGAGGCAGGTCTCATGTAGCCCAGGCAGGCTTCAAACTCACTATGTAGCAGTGACTGGCCTTGAACTCCTAATCTTCCTGCCTTTACCCACAAAGTTCTACAATTGTAAGTGTGTGCCACCATGCTGAGTTTATGAGGTAAGATATCAAACCTAGGGCTTTGTGCATGTTAGGCAAGCACTCTCCCAAACGAGCTACATCATCAGCTCCAATTCTAACAGTTTTCTAGAACAGAGGCTAACATAATTTAAGATGTAAAAATATCTTTTTCAGAATTCCATCATTGATTGATTTATTTATTTATTTATTTATTTATTTATTTATTTATTTATTTATTTTGAGGCAGAATAGAGCTCTTTGTAGCCCTGACTGTCCTGGAACTCACAAAGATCCTCCTGCCTCTGCCTCTGCATGCTGGGATTAAAAGCATGTGCTACTATACCCAACTCATATCTCCAATATTCTTAAAATGAGATTGTTAGGTTATGATGTCATAGAAAGAATATCAAATTTGTATGCAAACTGTAAGCCTTCCAGAGGCTATCTGGCACAAAATAAAAAGTATACAAAATTAACCCAAGAATGGTTGTCAAAGGCTGGGAATCCCAGCTACTGAGGAAGCTGAGGCAAAAGAATCTCAAGTTCAAGACTTGCCTGAGCTACAGATTGAATTTAAGGGCAACTTTGGAAATTTAGTAAGTGCTGGTCTCAAAACAAACAAACAAAGACTGCAGATTTAGTTAAGTAGCATAGTGTTTACGCGGGACATGTGAGGCCATCAGTCCAATGCCCTGCACCACTGTTCCAAGAGTATTATGCTACCTAACTGTGTTAGTTTCTCAACCGGAAGTTAACAGCAACACTTTCTTCACTTTTCAAACGCTGAAACAAGCCCAGAAGTGCTACAAGCAGAAGAGATCAGTGATCTCCATTCTAATGAAATGCCTAGGCCTAAAGCACTACTTCATAAGGGCTGCAGAGAGCTCAGTGAGTAAAGTCCTTGTAGTCCAAGAGTAAAGAGCGAAGTTTGGGTCCCCAAAACTCACTTAAAAGCCAAGCTGCATGAGAGGTCTGAGAAGATACAATGATAACTTAATCTCTTCTAAATATTTGTAAACAGTTCCTCTTTCTCCCACTATTCTGCAGTATTGTTCTCCGAGTTTATGGGGATACTCGCCTCCAGCTTATTTTGATTGTTTATTTGGCTGGTTGTTTTGTTTCTCTTCCATCCATGCCAATGTTATCTGTCACTCGGAGATATCCAAATTGCTCCCTACTTCTTCTTTTTTTTTTTTTAAGATTTATTTATTTATTATGTATACAGTGTTCTGTCTGCACATATCCCTGCAGGCCAGAAGAGGGCACCAGATCTTATTACAGAGGGTTGTGAGCCACCATGTGGTTGCTGGGAATTGAACTCAGGACCTTTGGAAGAGCAGCCAGTGCTCTTAAACTCTGAGCCATCTCTCCAGCCCTGCTCTCTACTTCTATAGAAATAGTTTTGCTTTCTCAAAAAAAAAAAAAAAAAAAAAGGCCAAGTATGTACAAGCCATCTGTAATCCCAGCACTTGGAGGCAAAGACAGGAGATCTCTGGGACAAGCTGGCTAGCTAGAACACCCAGAATTGTAAGCGCTGGGTTCCATGAGATCCTAGGCCAGCTAGCAAGATATCCAAGGTCAGCTCCAGGCCTGCACATGCATGCACACACAAAGATAAATTTTACAGGTGGGGAGGGTGGGAGAGTGAGATGGGTCAGTGGGTAGAGGTGTTTGCCACCAAGCCTGAAAAGTTGAGCTCAACCCCCAGAACCCACATGGTGAAAGGAAGGAACCGACTCCCAACAAGCTGTCTTCTGTCCTCTACACATGCCCCCAACCAATAAACAAACAAATACATGAATAAATGTTTTTTAGAAAGAAAAAAGAAAGAAAAAGGTTATTTCTTCAGCTTAGGAGTGTACCTGTCTCAAAATGAAACCCAGGGGTTCCTTGTCATGGTATTCTTCTCCCCATAAAGAAGGTCCCATTTGTTGTATGTTCCTACCACATTCCTTTTTAAACATCATCTCTCATAATCAGCTGTTAGTGTCTAACAGAATTCAGACTAGAATATTTGTTTAGTTTATATATCCCCAGTACCCAATACTATGTGTGGTACTATGTCAAGCTATATTACTTAATAAATTTCATCCCAAGAGGAATGGTGAAAAAAGCTAAGTAAACTGAAAATTAAAACAATATATGTTATTTCTGAGGACTGTAACCTTTATAAGTCAACAGTTTTGCTATAGCACTATCAATTTATCCCCCATGTAATCTGTCAAAAACCACAGTCCAGAGTAGCATCCATAACATATTTATATACTTAATACATAATTGAGCCAAAGGAAACTTGAGTTATTTATCCCACTGAGTATGCACATTATGTAAGAAAGATCTAAATAGCCGGGCGGTGGTGGCGCACGCCTTTAATCCCAGCACTTGGGAGGCAGAGCCAGGCGGATCTCTGTGAGTTCGAGGCCAGCCTGGGCTACCAAGTGAGTTCCAGGAAAGGCGCAAAGCTACACAGAGAAACTCTTTGTCTCGAAAAACCAAAAAAAAGAAAGATCTAAACAGAAAATCTCTTCCCCTCATTGCTAGACAACCAAGTTGTTATTTATTTACGATACATACCTCAACTTCTTTTCCCATACCTAATTCACTAGCATATTATTGAATGCTCAGAAGAACAAATTTGTGATGATCTGGGGAAATTTAACTCCTGGGTAATAGTAATGCTGTCATTTTGCCACTATACTGAAGCCCACACAACGCATATTACCAACAGGAATATACATTATTAAGAGTTCACTAAAAACTAAGTTAAAAATCAACGTATATTGAAGTAAGCTAAAAGTATCAAGTATAATGGATTTGCTTTCATGTAACTAAAGTTTTTCCAATTAGTCTACTATTCCCAGCATCTCTACGTTACTTTCTTGCATGAACATGAAATTAAGCCACAGAATGTCATTCAAATTGTCAGGACAGAGTAATAGGAAATTTATACAGATCACACATTACTAAAAATTATGAAAATTCATGCTAGGCATGGAGGCATATGCCATTAATCCCAGAACTCAGGAGGCAGAGGTAGGAAGAGTCGATGAATTACAGGCCAGCCTGTCTATAGCAAGATACAAGCCAGCTGTGGGGGTTGGGGAGGGAGATAGAATGATAAAACTCTCAAGATGTACTTTAGAGACTGTCAGTGCTACCAGAAAAAAGCACTTCCAAGCTAACTATTTTCCTACCCAGATTTTTCTAACTAAAAATTGCAAGAGTCCTGCTGATTATCCTAACAAATTTGGGGCCTCAATACAGATATATAAAACTTCAAGTCAAAATGATAAGGGAGGGATACTAAAGATTTTTTTAAAAATTTTTTTAAGTCCTGTGTCTGACAGAGGACTGATCTCAAAAGTATATAAAGAACTCAAGAAACTAGACATCAAAATACTGAACAATCCAATTAAAAAATGGGCTAAAGAGCTAAACAGAGAATTCTCAAAAGAAGAATCACAAATGGCTGAAAGACATTTAAAGAACTGCTCAACATCCTTAATCATCAGAGAAATGCAAATCAAAACGACTCTGAGATACCACCTTACACCTGTCAGAATGGCTAAGATCAAAAACACTAATGACAGTCAATGTTGGAGAGGATGTGGAGCAAAGGGAACACTACTCCATTGTTGGTGGGAATGCAAACTTGTACAACCACCGTGGAAATCAGTATGGCGGTTTCTCAGAAAATTGGGAATCAATCTACCTCAAGACCCAGCCATACCACTCTTGGCCATATACCCAAGGAATGCTCAATTATACCACAAAGATACATGCTCAACTATGTTCAGAGTAGCACTATTTGTAATAGCCAGAACCTGGAAACAACCTAGATGCCCGTCAACTGAAGAATGGATTAAGAAAATGTGGTACATGTACACAATGGAGTACTACTCAGCAGAGAAAAACAATGACAGCATGAAATTTGCAGGTGAATGGATGGAACTAGAAAATATCATCCTGAGTGAGGTAACACAAACCCAGAAGGACAAACATGGTATGTACTCACTCATAAGAGGATTCTAGATATAAAGCAACGAACAATCAGACTGCAACCCACAGAACCAGGGAGGCTATGTAGCAGAGGGCACTCTAGGATGACTGTGGCTTATAATAAGTTTTGGTTTTACTCAATTACTGGGCAAGCCTCAATGAAACATTTCACTATTAGGATAAGAATTTATACTGCATCAAGCTGATAAAAGAAAAATAAATAAATTAATTAAAAAAATTTTAAGTCCCGTGTCATTACACAAACACTCATCATATACTTATTATACAATAGATAGTAGGGATAAACTAGTGAACAAAACAAAATTCAGAAAACAAATTGGGAGCTAGTGAGCTAGCTCAGCAGTTAAGAGCCCATACTGCATGCAACCCCTAAAGTTTCAGCTCCAGGGTATCCAGCAGCCTCTTCTAAACTCC